CTTTTTTATTTAATTTGTGTTATTCAATTGTTTGTATTTCCTTTAAACATTGCCTGCTTGTAATAGTAAGACATACATACTCTGTACATATGTGTCTTAGAAAGTTCTCCTGTACTGCTTAAATTAAACCTGTGGAGATATCATGTGGAAAAGGACTTGGGAGTAATGGTGGGTGAAAAGCTTGACACAAGCAAACACCGTGTTCTTGCAGCCTGGCAGGCCAACTGTATCCTGGACTACATCAAAAGAGGGGTGGCAGGCAGTGAGAGGGAGGTGATTGTCTGCCTCTACTCTGCTCTTATGAGACTCCATCTGCAGTACTGTGTCCAGACCTGGGACCCCCAGTGCAAGAAAGATGTGGAGCTGTTGGAGAGGGTCCAGAAGAGGCCACGGAGAGGGCTGCAGCACATCTCCTGTGAAGAAAGACAGAGGAATCTGGGCTTGTTCAGCCAGGAGAAGGGACTCCAAGGAAACCTTGTGGTCTTTTTGATAGTTAAAGCAGTCCTGCAGGAAAGCTGGCTAAGGACTCCTTATCAGTGAGTGTAGTGACAGGACAAGAGGGAATGTCATTAAAGTGAAAGAGGGTAGATCTAGATTAAATATATGGAAGAAATTTTTTACTCAGAAGGTGCTAATACAGACTGCCCAGAGAAACTGTGGATCCTATCCCTGGAGGTGTTCAAGCCCAGGTTGAATGGAGCCTTGGGCAGCCTGATCTGATGGGAGATGTTCCTGCCCATGACATGGGGTTGAAGCTAGGTGTTCTTCCAGCCCAAGCTGTTTTGTGATTCTGTGATCCCCTCAGGTTGCGCATTGACTGTAGAGAGAGATTTAAAGCACAGACCTTCTTATGATACATTTTTCTAGCTAGGTTTCTTCTCACCAGATTAGATTGTATTGTGATTTGGCAAAAACAAACTCACTCAACATATTTTAATAGGGCATGAACAGCCATTGCTGCTGTTTTGAGAAATGATCCCACAATAGAAAGGCAGATATTTAATACATGAATAGCATACATATTTGCTCAATATTGATCTAAAGTGAAAGTATACTAGTCTTATTTAAGTAGGTTTGTTTGAAAACTGGGGTTTAGATATGGAGGGATACTGAGAGGAAGAAAAAGACTTCAAATTTGTTTTTATTAGTTTTTAAAATTCTCTGGAATACATGTTGGTAGTGTCTTTACTGATTAATTAAGGTGATTCATTGATTTGGTGTAAGTTATTCAGTCTACCTGATGGATATATAAGCTCTGTATGGAGCTCTTTTCAGATACACACTTGATGTACTGATTTAGATAATCCTTGAGCTCACTTTGAATTGTGAGCCGTTAATTCACCAGTGAAGGATGGTGACTAAAAAAGTAATCTTTTGACATCGTAATTGGGCAGACTTTCTGAGAGGCAAAAATGAAACAAGAGGAATGGTCTGACAGTATAGGCTGAATTACCTTTCGATAAACTGCAGGTGCAGTCTCAAAGAAATTTTTAGTCAGCTCAAGGCCCTCCTGGTATTCTTTCAAAATGATGTTACAGTATGCTGTTATCACCAGATAATGAATGAAATGAATATCACCAGATTCAGAAATATTTATACTGTGCACAGACGTGTCTTCTTTGGACAGAAGTTTTTCAGGACAGCATGCAGCTTTCATTCCATAGTCTGGCTTGAAAGCTTATTACAAAGGATTCTCACAACACAGCACCACACCAATCTGATGGCAGATTGTTATAAGTGAAGATTGCTTATTTTTCCTTCTTTCATTAGCTTGCTCAAAAAATACATGTTTGAACAGTAAAAAGTGTCTTCACTGGTATATGTAATCCACATAGCCTCTTGACTCTTCTGTTAAAGGTAGCTTACCAGCTTCAAACTGACTCGCACTGCATCTGCTAGAAAGGGATTTGTACTGTGAAGGAACCATTATGTTTCTGGTAGGAACCATTATGTGTGTGAATCTGACATATATGTGATGGCTTTAATTGCTTAGTTTCAAGAAGGAGGAAAGATGGGGCTCTAGCAAGTTTATCTTGACAAAGCTGTGAAAATTGGTAATTCAAGGGCTTTTCTGATTATCTGTAGCAGCCACAGTGGAGCTGAAAAGGCTATACTAAAAAGGAGGCAAATTAAAAAAAGATGAAGGCTCAGAATTTAAATGTTTCCTAAACATTTAAAACCTGCCTCCAGTCTCAACAACATCAGCATATGCCAGTGGTATAGTATCGCCTACAAGCACTCATGAAATGTTTGAGTGGCTTGAAATGCATGCCCTTTGCACCAGGCAGCTAAGTCTCTGCATGGTTCATACTGCCACTATGTGAGATCAAATACTGCATCACTGCAGCCTTTCTGCAGTTCACAAAAGTGACCCCTGCTGTGTGAGGAATGCTAAGTTTCCTTTTCCTTTAAAGGAAAAGAGGCTCTACCTAACTGAATTTGTCTGTCCAAGTTTCCATGGTTTCTTACATAAGGAGAAGGTCATCATTGGCAGGAACAAGTATAGTCAATCTGAAATGAATCCACCTCACAGTACCCCCAAAAGATTCTTTCTGTACTCTTACCAAGTCTTTGTATTCAGCTTTTTGTTACTGAGGCTCTGTGGATTCTTCGTTGTTTATGCCAGGTGCCTGAATAATTCACAGGGCCACAAATAAAGAAAACGTGCATGCATGTAATAAATTCTTCTATCTACTGTATGTGAATTGATTTATGTTCTATCTTTAAACAAGCTGTGATGAAGGATTGTTTTTTATTTCCTTAGGCTTGTTGCAGATTTCACATTGCTGTATGAAAAACTGATTACTTTCTTTTTATTGCCAAATGTTGGATGCTTATTTTATTCATCTTATTTGTCTGACCTCACTACAGACAGTAGTAAAATGTACTCCTGTGAAAGAGAGTTTGGTCTACACTTTTCTAACACTTAATACAAAAATTGCCATTCCCAATTGTTGGAACTTGTTAGAGTTGTCTAAACTCTATAATGAACTGGACATGTCTCTTAATTTCTGCATTATCTGTCTACAGAATAGGAAAAGTCATGATGCATTGCATCTAACTGATAAAGTGCTTTGAGCTTCTCAGGAGGAATGGATTGTAAGAGTCTGTGCATTCCTTCCTTCTTCCATGAACAATAAATCAGCAACTGCCATCAAACTGGGTTACTATATATACTTTTTAGGAATCCTTCCAGAATCCCTTCATTTCCTCTCTATTGTGCATCAAGAAATGTGCATCTCATCTAGATTAGGCAGTTAAGAAACATGTTTTTGCATAAGCTGTTAACACCATTTATGAAAAAAAAGAAGTATGAGAATTTTTTTATCTAAGAGAAATTAATCTGATATTTCTAGCAAACTGTCTTCCTTTCAGAGCTTTGATTTTCTCTAGCTAGCTCTAAATTACACTTTTTTGTTGGAATGGCTTGAAGCTTTTAGGGTGACTAGAGTCTGTGAATTTTTTTAAGTCTGCTCTTAACATGTCATTGGTTTTCTGCCAGGACTCTGAAGTCACTAGGAATCTTTCCAGAAGCCTTCTATGGTTGGTTTGTTGAGACAGTGACCAGTATTCTTACTCAGACTGCAAAAGATGTAAAACAAAACTGAGCTTTACCATTTTCTTAGATGTGCTCTAAGGAGATTACCAGATGTATTAGTGTTGAAGTGGGAGGAGTATTTGGTGGTGGGAGGTTATAAATACAAATATTTTGTATTGTTTCCCTCTTACGTGATCCAGAAAAATCTAAGTTATACCAGATTTTCTTCTTCCTTTTCGTTTTCATTTGTATGAAACAGTCATTTGGCCTATAGTAGTCTGAATTCCATTCTGGCTTTGTTTTATTCAAACAAGCATTTTTAATGGTTAAACTTACTTACCCAGGTTTTACTTGAGAAGTGAAAATTTCTAAGCTGGGTGAGAAACTGAAAGCTCAAAGCTAATGGTGTTGTTTGCATTAGACAAGACACAGTTCAATGAGATGCAGTGTGCACCTTCATTGTCTGAATGTTAGCAAGCAAAATTGACACCATATGTGCCCAACTGTAATTGCTCCAAGAGGGGAAAAGAGAAACATGTCAGAACATTTGAGTAACACCTAATTCAGCTCATGGTTATAAATAATGCTGATGGCTGCTTAAAAACAAAAGTAGGAAAATATTATGGTTATATTATTCCTCAACAGCGCTTCCTACATAGGTGAACTTTATTACGGAGACAACACGAGTGAAAAGAAACGTATAACAACTTTTTATGATATTTTTATGTTATTTTATTTTTTTCGCAGTAAATAAAGTGGTTATGAGGCTCCAAGGAAAACAGCCCAGATGTTAGTGTGTTGTACAAAATTTAGTGGAAACAAGCTGTAAAAAACATAGTCATAAAACAGCCTGTCAATGCCACACATCTGGACAATGCAGCCGTATGTTCCCGCTGCTGTCATCACCCTAAGAAAACTCAATAGCCTTATTTCACCCCAATTAGGCTGCATACCAACAGAATCAGCAATATACAGGGAGGGGATATATTTTCAATGGTACAGACCCTCTCAAATTCCCTTCAAGAAGTTTATATCTTTCATTCAATGCCTCCGATGCTAGTCACTTTGTAAATAGTATTCAGAATAACACCCTCTGATTTGGTGTCTGCTAAATACATTTTAGTTTATAATAAGTAATTGCTTAATGTTGCTTCTTATTTTTTAAAAAATATATGTAATTTACAGTGAAAACTGTGTATCTGTTGACCCTTAAATAAATCATGGAAGTTTTCTCCCATCTGCTATTTTATAGCACTTATAACTTCATTTGAGGTTTTTGGAAATAAAGAATAGCTATGTATCATATGAATTTGTTGTTTTTTTGGAACGTGTGGCCATTTTGAGCCTTTGAGCCACTCACTGTACAATGTGAAGTAACACCCCATCATTTCTGCATGCAAAATAAGTCAAATGCAATATTAAAACCATACAAGTAATAGTTATTTTTATTTTTTCTCTGCAGGTAGTAGAAGTAGCCAAAGCCATTTTGGATAGTGGAGAAGAAATTCCTGTTACACTAACTGGAAAGCTATTGAAATTTCAACTGCTTTGCATTAAACAGAGGGATCTTCAGAGAAGGGACGCTGAAAAGGTACTACAGTATGCTTTAGGGAGATTTCTTAATTAACTTTACGACGCTAATTCAGGAACTATTTGCATTCAGCTATCTCCTCATGCTTAACTTCCTGTAAGCATCATTAAAAAAAAATGTAAACAGAAATTTATTTAGGTTTTTGGAAGAAGCTCCCAGTTATTCAAATGTAGTTGAGATAAGGGAAAGAACAGAACTCTTTGCTTGAGTAAAAAGTACTAATGCAGTATCTCAGTCTTAGGACTGAGAGACGATAGAGCTGGAAACTATGTATTATCATTGTCCTTTTCTGGTGTTCCCTGAACTGACTTCCACATATCGTTTAGGGCTGTCACTACTAGCCCCAAGACTGCCTTAGTCAGCCTGCTTAACTTCTATAGCAGGAATTTCAGCAGGCTTGCACAGAATCACTGTGACATTGAGAGGAAAGGGAAAAGATCCTCAAAAGAGGCTTTTACTTTCTGAAGTACCAACGACAACTAGTGCTCTTTGTGGGAATCTTGACAAATTCTAATATATATTTCTGCTTTCTTGAGGCTCAATTACATAAAATTATTCAAGTGCAATAAACAAAGCTTATTGTAGCACTGTTGTTTGATGATTGTATCCTCTGTTTTGATGTGTTAATCAGCTTAGAATTCAAAGTCATAATATCAAAACCTTCCAGCTGAAATGTCTAAAGTGGAGAAAATCTGAAAGTAAATAAGATCAGAATCACCACAGCACAAACAATTTTAAGAATCATTGAAGACATTCCTAAGTGATACAAAAAGGGAATGTTAATGAAGGGAAGGAAGGAAAAGATTTTCAGCTCTGATTTTGGATTGAGCTAAACACAATTGCTGCAGCTGGAAAGCCTGGTTGACCAGCTGAGTGTGGGAAAGACAATTGTGTAGAATAAATTGACCTATCTAATTTGCATGGAAATATTTTTTTCATTGATTTAATGGCAATTAAAGTGACACAAAAGGAATGCTAGCAGTAATTAAAATTAGTATCTTTTTAGTGTATTTAAAAAACTTTATAAAACTGAAATTTTATTCTTACGTAGTTAGTTCATAGTCATGATGCCGGATAGAAATATGGTGTTTTTCTTGCTCTTACAGCACCTCCCTTTACCATAATGTATTTGGATTATTTAAATTTTTTATTTGATCTGAGCTCCTTAGGTGTATAATGTGAGACTTTGGGTCACTATCACCATCTTTTTTTCATTCTTTACTCTTAAATTACTGAGTAAATTTAAATGTTGGGGGTTTTGTTTGAAAAGTAATGAGAATGGCTAAGTAATATCCTGAATGACATGAGCACAAGGCTGTTGGTTGTTGTTTATAGTAGACAGATATTTACATCAAAGACAAAGTAGTGCTGGTACTATTTTACACCTTATTCAAGTGTTAACAGAGATGCTTAAGACTTGACAGAATTTGAATTTTGGTCTGATTTTCCTCCAGAGAAGGTTTCTGACTGCAAGTACTGTAGTGGCAGTAACTGAAGGACAGTGATTCTTCACTCACCTTTCTACCATTATCCCTGTTATTAATGTGAAGTCTTAACGCTATAATTCATTGAGAATGTAATAAACTAAATGATGTGTTTAAGAAGAATAAAACAGCGTTCAAGACATCTTCACTACAACATTATAACTCTGAAAAGGAAAAGTATTCAAAGAAATAAATTGATTTTACAGCACTCTGCCCTTTGTTCTTCACAAAGGCAACAATGACAACTTAGTTTCTTTATCTTGTCAGGCTGAAGAAGAGCAAAAAAAGGAGAAGAATGGGGGGAAAGAAACAGGCAAACCTATTGGCAAGGAGAAACCTCCTAGTGCCAAGACAACTGAGAAAGAAAGAAAAGGAAAAAAGACAGAAGCAGCCCCTCCAGTGCCAGTTACTGGTAAAAAAAATACCCAATTGAAGCGACGAGGAGAGAAGGAAGAGGAATACAAATATATTGGTATGTAAAACTGCAGATAAGCTTCTGAGAAACTTGCTGAAAAATTTTTAAAACTAGCTTCTCATTCAGTCTTCCTTTCTGTTCCATGCTGAAAGGTATGTTTGGCAATGTTAAAGCATTGCCACTTTGGATTTGAAGAGGGCACCGTGTTCTGCTTAGAAGAATAGAAATACAGTAGATGGTAATGTCTAAGAAAAATACAGATGAGGTATATGTGGCAGTTTGACATCAAAATGTTTTAGCGTGTCTAAGACTAAACTAAAGTGGATAAATAAAACATGTCTTTACACAAAGATTTCAGAATAACTAAATGCATTTGTCAGTATCCAAAGGCAGCTTTCTCTTTGTATTAATGAAGTAACACAGAGCTGTCCACCACTGTTTGGAGGTGAAGCCAAATTCTATACAAAAGGTAATATGATATTTGCTGTAAAAACATGCAGCTGGTACTCAGACCTGAAAAAATCTACTTCAGAAATGAGATTTGTAAGATAAACAATAATATTGCTGAGAAAATCTTTGTTCTTAATGCATAGCATGCATGGTTGCAAATATCACTGGAACAAAAACTACTGGAGAATGTACATACATCTCTTCATTTAGAACACAGTTATATTTAATTTGGACTAAAGTCCATTCTATCTATGTCAGAAAAAACAGGAACTCTCCCATTGGAAGAGAAGTTGCTCATCTTGGATGTGTAGCCACTGAGCCAATGCAGATGTTCCTCTTTCATCAGACTTTTGTCTACATTTCTTTTGAGGCCAATGGCATTCTTCAGTTGTCGGTTCAGATGTTTAGAACAAATCTGAATCTTAGTCAAGCTGGCAAAAGCACACAGGATTTGAACATTACCTTTCTGTTCATAACCCCTTGTTTTCTCAGATAAAGCTGGTCAATAATAATATTCTTTTGATAAAGTTAGGTTTTTCAGAGACTTGAAGAGAAGTGTTTGAATAAATGCTTACGCTTGTAAGAATCAAAGCTAAAGTGATGTAGAGAATTCATGTCATCTTATTTGTATATGTACAGAATATACTGGCCTGAATGGCTAAGTACTGATAAAGTACTAATGTGGTTCTCCTAGGCCCTGTAGAAACAGTTTCATCAGAGCCAATATTTTTTTTTAATTTCTATTGTCTGGGCAGAAAACATCAGAGGTATGTGTAAAATAAGAGATTTTATTCCCCCAAGTCTGTACTTAGCTGCCTTTGTTAGCCGCAGCTAATAAGGCAATGTTAAAAAAAAATAATAATCTAAAAACTAACCACCATGAAAAGTCACCTTGTTTAGTGTGATTAGTAGCTTTAAGTTATAAACTACTACTACATGTTGTTATACTTTTATTAACTGTGATGGTCTTCCAAGGATATTTACAAAATAGTGGTAGAAATGGTTGCAAATCATGGCAAAGGAGAAGTTGTCTTGGTATTTTGCACTTGTGAAGACAGTACAAGAATAAAAAATAAACTCTCCAAAGATTGTTGGAATGTCAGAAAGTACATACTGGTTGAATTTACATTACAGAAAGTCTTCCTAAATGAATAGATTTAACAGGAAGGGAACTAGAGTTCCCTAGAAGTAAGCTATATTATTGAGCATAAGACATATTCTGTTTAGCATTAAGATTCTAAAAGTGTGTTTTGTTGTTAGGACAGGATAGACTTTTCTAGCTGTATGTGTTCCATAGCCAGCAAAGAGATAAAGGAGATTCCATTATCTTAGAGTGAATAACTAAGCTGGATAAAATAAATTACCTAATGCCTATCTGAATACCTGTTTTTCTCCATAGGCCACAAATAGGATCTACTCAATAAGTAACTTAGACTAAAGACGAGTTTCTGGAAGGTTTATTTGCACTTATCTGATATGATGCTTGACATCATTTGCTTTGGTACATTGGTATATTATTGTGTATATTACTACGGAAGCAGACATTTAATGAAACTTCTCATCCATTCTCTAAAAGGAATTTGGATGAGTCTGGCCAACTATAAGGACTAGTGTGAGTTGGTATTACCAGATGATGAGAGTTTTGACAGGGACTCCTTCTTGCAAAAACAAACATGTTGGGCAGGGACCCAGTGATTACTCCTTCTTGTGGCTAATCCTTCAAAATTACTACAACTAATGCTATCTCTCAGCTGTGACACAGTAACTTACTCTGTGTGTTCCCTCGCTAGCTTTAGGTGGGTTGAAACTATCAGTAGAACATGTGAGAATGTCCTGGAACTAAATAGTTTTTCTTTGAGAAAAGCAGTTGCAGAAAATGTTACTGCTACAGCCAGCATTGTGGTTATAATAAACTTCTCCAGTAATTTTTTTACTGTTTCTTCCCCAAACAGTTTTTCTCTAAGTGGTCTGCTGCTGAAGACTTCAATCTAACACATATAAATTTTAGCATATTATGTACAGTTATGCCAGTGAGGCTATAGAAGAGCTGCTTCTGTGACCCTAATTTGCAATATCCCTATGTACTAAATATATATATATAATGTAAATATATATATAAATTATATATATATAAAATTTTGTTTAGCTGTTGAATTCCATGCTCTAATCTCTTTTGATTTTGCTTTGAACAGATGATGAACCAGATGACGGTGCCCATTATTACTTTATAATTTTGGGTTTCCACAACCTTCAGCTACTGCCAGTGATGTCTGAGCTTGGAGTTAATGTTTCAAGTGTAATCAGGATTTCTTCTGAGAATTATGAGCCATTACAGGCATACTTGGAAGCAGCTAGACTTCAAGAAGAGTCTTTACTTTCACCTGAAGGTAACTTGGTCTTAAGAACAGCATTTGTGTAGAAACAATAATGTTTCATATGCAAGTATATACTGTTCTCCTTGTTATCCCTGTACTTTTCTCCTTATCCCTGTGCCTTATGTTTATGCATAATACTTGTGGGCAGCTGTATTTCCATGTGCAAAAATGATATTGCCATTGGTTCGGTCACCAAACCAAAGAGTTTGCCAGTACAAAAACTTGCCTTAGCTGGACAATGATTAAAGAGGCAGTGTTTTAATCACAGTTCTGTGCAGCAACCACCATAGAACATTTTATCAGATGTATAACATTGTGTGTCATTATCCAGGAAAATCTGTTTCTAAGAAGTCTTGAAACATTTGGTAATTTCGAAGGAAGTGCACAGCTTTCTATTAGGTTGGGACCATGGGTCAAACTAAAGAAGAATATATCACAGAAAAACAAGCTGCCTGAAGATAGCTGAGTAGTGCCTCTGTTGAAAAGGACTTGGGATCCTGGTGGACAGCGAGCTAAATGTGAGCCATCATTGAAGGGCAGGAATATCTTTCAGTCTTTGAGACTTTTAAGATTATATTAGATCAGTGTATGTCAACAAGGATTTATTTATTTGTGGCTTGGAGCAGGAGTTGAAGTATGTCCTATTTGAATGGCTTTTGAAACAGTGTAACGCATGAAGATGTATCTTAGGAAGGAAGATAGTAACTTGTAAATACAATTGTGGTATAATGGTTCTGTTGTTCTTTTCATTAGGACTCATAAATCCTGGATTAGGAAGGTAGCTCTCTTGTTCTTTTTTTTTCTTATCTGTTTACATCCACTAATGGCTTTCCTTTTGTGAATGAAGTCAAGCATTGTCATTACCCTTTTCATATGGTTAGTTTTTTGTTCCTCTAAACACTCTATTAGCTTCACTACTATTACTTCCACTTCTCTTAGAGTTAACATTCAGAACTCAGACCAATCTCCCAGCTTGACAAAATGTAACTCATTTTTCAATGTATCTGTTGGAAATGTGTGACCTGACACACCCTAGTAATTTTTGGACTTCTGTTTACACTGTGATGGTTCAAAATCACTATGCGATGTGTTAGTATATACTAGATGTTATTATTCCACTGTTATATGACTGTTACAGATTTTTGTTGTTGTTTTTCTACATGCTGAAATCATGTAGAGTACTACTAAATACTGTCTCATTTCTATTCCTGAAGACTTCAGTAATAGTAGTAATATATGGTAATAGTAGTATAATGACTATAAGACTTCAGTAATATGACTTCATGTTAATTCAGTAAGAATGAAGAAGAGAGATAGTATTCAAAGGTAGAACATCTGATGATTGATCCTGACATCCCTTGGTGCAAGGGGAGACCTAAGCATCATAAACTTGTTTGTTTTATCATTAAACTATACGATAGAGATGGTAAAACATTATTCCTCTGTTGTTAAAATGGAATTTCTAGATACAAGGTAATTATCTCTGAGCCGCTCCACTTCCGTTCAGGAACATGAAGAGATCACTCTAGGACCGAACAGTCTGGATACTGCTATATTGCCAAAATATGTGTTCAAAGAGTGTTAGGAGAACTTTGCTACTGGTGAGATACCATGTAGAATTAGAGCTTATCTTTCATGAGCACCTGAAAAAAGAGGGAAAAGGAAGGATGTTCCTTTGTCCCAGGTGAGCTGTTAGGAGCATGGAACAGTTAAAATCAAGGCCAGCATTCTGTCCCCAGAAGTGGTCATGAGCTGATGCTAATGAAGAGGAAAAGGAGAAGAATAATAGGAAAAGAGCACTGGAAAGGAATGAAAATAATAGAAAAAGGATAACTGTATAAGAAAAGCATGGATGAGACTACTTCATGTGCACTTAACATAGCCTCCATTTATTTTCAAGTCAAGGTATTTTCCTGATCCTGATGTATCTTTTCAGTAAACCTCAATGGTTTAGTTTAGTGTGCCCAGGTGGCCAAGAAGGCCAATGGCATCCTGGCTTGTATCAGGAATGGAGTGGTGAGCAGGACTAGGGAAGTCATCTTGCCCTGTACTCGGCACTGGTGAGGCCTCACCTCGAGTACTGTGTTCAGTGTTGGGCACCTCAATACGGAAAGGACATGGAGGTGCTGGAGCAGGTCCAAAGAAGGGCAACAAGGCTTGCGAAGGGCTTGGAGAATATGTTCTACAAGGAGAGACTGAAGGAACTGGGGCTGTTTAGTCTGGGAAAAAGGAGGCTGAGGGGAGACCTTATTGCTCTCTTCCAATATCTGAAAGGTGCTGGCAGCAAGAATGGGGTTGGTCTCTTCTCACTGGTGACAGGTGATGAGAGGAGGGGAAATGGCCTCAAGTTGCACCAGGGTAAGTTTAGGTTGGATATCAGGAAATAATTCTTTACAGAGAGGGTTCTTAAGCACTGGAATAGGCTCCACAGGGAGGTGGTTGAGTCATCATCAATGGATGTGTTTGAAAACCATTTGGATGTGGTGCTCAGGGACATGATTTAGCTGTGGGTTGTTAGAATTGGGGTAGTATGGTTAGGTTGTGGTTGGACTTGGTGATCTTTAAGGTCTTTTCCAAACTGAGTGATTCTATGCCATGTTTCACTCAGGCTTTTTCTTCCTGAAGTTTTTAAACTCAAAGTTGGTTGTCAGATTTTTTTCTGAGATGGTGAGAATAGGAATATTCTAACAGCTCTTACAGAAGATTAATAACAGTTTGTGCTTTCTGTAGAAGGGAGACATTGTATCATGATGTATTATTTTAAAATTTTAGATGTAGAAGCAGAAAAAGAAAAGAAAAATGAATCTATCAAAGACCTGGAAACATTTTGGAAATACCTGGAACCAGTTCTGAACAGTGAAAAGCATGGGTCAAGACTTTTTGATGTTGCCAGACTTCATCACCTAGTTAAGGAGAATGCCTTTCCTTCTGATTGGTCTGACAGAGAAATCCTGGTCAGTAGATAATACTTTCACTATATATGGCAAGCTTTGAAGTTTGCAACATTTAGCTTCGTTTTAGTAATGGCAAGAATTTTAGTTTGGTCTTCTGTGAAAAAGAACTAAAGTATGTTTCACAAGGAGTCCTTTGAATAGAAACACCTGACTTGGAGTTTCTTAATACTGTAGGCAACAACACCCAAGTTGAAAGTAATATGAGGTGTTAAATTTATTCCGTCTTCACAATGACCCAGTTTGAATCTCATTAGAGAGTCAGGTGTCAGCATGAAATAACATAAAAATTATGTTTTTTTCCTTCTAACAACAGGCCTACTTACTATTTATCAGAAAAGTCACATGACAACAAATTCAAACAAATGCAAAAAAAACTTTTTGATTATAAACTGTTGTTTTAGCACATACTGTGCTACTTGTTGTCCTACCCAAAACATGGTTTTGGTTTATTGCTTTTCATAACCTGCTGAGTAAGGACTATTACTTGGTAGAGGGAGGCAAGGTGAACAATTAGAATTTTTTTTTGAACTGAGGATTTCAAATGCAGCAAGGTAAAGTGTCCAGCATTTTCCAGTCCATAATGGCAGCAGTAAAAAATATGTGCTAAAGCAAAATGAAACAACTTTCTATGATTTATCCTACTGTATTTGTGGTCTATATTATTACAGTTAAATGACAGACTGTATCTCCCTAACACTTATCTATAGTACATCAAATCCTGTATATAAACAATCTGGTGAGCTAGGAAGTACCCTTGATCCTAAAGAGATCAGAACTGAATTTGACAAAATCCACCATGGTTTCTAAGGCGTTTGCTAAAAAAACCTCAGTTGTGAAAATGTGTAGAGTTGCTATTTTATAACATTATTCACCATTATATTTTCTTAATCTGATCTTCACATATGAGGCCAATTTTGTGAAAGATATTCTTTAATCATTTCTATTTTCCCCTTCTCTTCTGAGAGTCCGTAAATATACTATGAGCAATTATCTTTACTGAAATAAAAGAAAAATTGTTTGTCACTGAAATTGTTCCAGCAGGTTGTAGTTGTAATTTCACATTCTTCTCTATCTCAAAATTCAGATGAGCTCTAAAGAAGTAATTCTTTAAAGATATAGATGTTGAAAATGCAAGTAATGAAATCATAGAGTAAATCTGTTCTGGTGGAATTCCTGGAAAGTCTTTGAGTACTATCTTGCTGCATTTCTGAAGTCCAAGAGCTATCAGAGTAACTCCTGTGACAGATTGATAGGCATTGAAAAAATGATGGAATATTAAATGCAGGAAGTTATCTACATTTCAGATATTTCATGTAATGGAAAATACTTTCAGGAATATTTTCTTTTTTTCAGTAGTAACTGGTGGCTGGACTCAGAACTTTTGACAAACATGTCTGTCCTGAAATGAGGAAAATTAGAATCATAGAGTAATAGAATGGTTTAGATTGAAAGAGGCCTTAAAGACCATCTATTTCCAGTCCCCCAGTGTGGTCAAGGCACTTCCCAGTAGATCACGGTGCCCAGGACCCTACCCAACTTTCAAGGGGGAATTATTTTAAATTAAGACAGGGAGGTTTAGTTTAGATATTAGGAGGAAGTTTTTCACTCAGAGGGTGGTGATGCACTGGAACAGGTTGCCCAAGGAGGCTGTGGAAGCCCCATCCCTGGAGGCATTCAAGGCCAGGCTGGATGTGGCTCTGGGCAGCCTGGTCTGCTGGTTGGCGACCCTGCACACAGCAATGGCGTTGGAACTAAATGATCACTGTGATTCTTTTCAACCCAGGCCATTCTGTAATGATTTAACATGGCCTTGAACACTTCCAGGGATGAGGTATCTACAACTAATCCAGGGAACCTGTTGCAGTGCCTTGCCAGTCTTTGAGCAAAGAATTTCCTCCAAATATCTAATCTAAATTTCCTCTTATTTTAGTTTAAAAAATTACACCCTGTCCTGTCACTACCCTCTCTGATGAAGAGTGCCTACCCATCTTTTCTATAGGCCCTCTTTTGGTACAGCAAGGACCCTTTAAAATCTCCTCAGAGCCTTCTGTTCTCTAGGCTGAACAAACCCAGCTCCTTCAGCCTTTCTTTGTAGCAGAGGTACTCCAGCCCTCTAATCATCTTCACGACCCTCATTTAAACCCCCCTCCAACATCACCATATCTTTTTTGTGCTGGAGGTCCCACTTCTGGACACAGTACTACAGATGGAGCCTCACAGAGTAGAGGAGAACAATCAACTCCCTCAACCTGCTGAATTCTTACTTTGTTAAAAAGGCTGAGCTTGCAAAACTCTCCAGTACTTTAATTGAAATTTTCAATTAGCCCTAGTGATCTCTTGTAAGTAACATTAATGGAAAGTTTTATAAAAGAGCATTGAATTAGAGAAGCAAAAATGTGCAAATATTTATTCTGAAAACTGTTTTTGCAAACTGAACTTCTAATATTCAAATATTACGAATACTACAAGTTTTCCATAACTGATGACTGACCTGAGTGCTTGTTTAGAAATGATATAAACAGGGCTAGTGGTAGAGAAAGCAGATGCCTGATATTTCTTAAGAATCAGTTAATATGTTTACTGTGAGTTATGGAACTGGAGGACAGTTGTGTTTCTTCACCATGTTTCATTTTAGAAAACTTAAGGTTGAGATATCCAATTACTTGTTTAGGATAAAAAGAAGAGTATGGCCATTAAAGCCACTGAAATCTGGTGGCATGTGGTCTGAGAGAGGGTTTGGTATGAGTATAAAAGTATTTCAAATTTAAAATTATGGTTGATCTCAATTCTGTTTGAAAATTTTTGAACAACTGTGGATCTGCTGGATAGAGAAATAATAACTCATGTGGCTACATTACATGCCACATTTGTGTGCACGCTTCATCCTTTATATCTGATTTTCTGTCGTAGCTTGCATTTGGCACTGAACTATTTGAAAGCATTGCTTGTTTAATGTATGACTGCATAGACTGGAGAAGACAGCATTGTAACTACTTGGAAAACACCGAGTTTATTAATGTGCCTGAACTATCGACACAGCCACCTGTAGTAACCAAGGCAAGGATTTTCTTTTGCTTTATCTTGTTTATTATAGAAAATAATGAGCTATAGGATAGAATTACCTTCCTTCAATTCTGCACAAAAAATATCAGCTTGGACCATCACTCCGTGTATAATGTTTCATAAACAAAGTTGGGATTTTTGTCTTCAGCATTTAAAAAATCAAAAATGGGAAAAATTATTAGAGAAAAAAAGATTATTGGAGAAACAGAAAAATAAACATCTGAAGGATCATACAGATATTATCATAAGCTATCACTGGTTTAAAAATTATTTAACTTATGATTATGTCTTCTTATGCCTGGAAAATCACTATGCATGCACAGGGCTACTATGTCTCCTTACAGATCTGCAAACTATGCAAAAATTATTATTTACTTCTATCCCAGATCAGTTAATTTATTTTGCTTATAGTAGACAAAACAAGTGTGCTCAAGAAAGCAGTTTGTTGGACATGAACTAGAGACTGGATAAAAATAGGATTTCTACATCTATAGCAGTGCTTCTGAACTCTCACTTAAAGCATTTGTAGAACAACATAACTTGTTCCCTTCAGAGTCAGATTTGATTTAAGCCACATGAAATTTTAGCATCTAGTTAAGAGTAAGAAACTAAAGCTAAATGAAATTATTTTTCCCACCTGTTTGCATCTGGCAACCCTCACTTGTTTCAGTGATTCTGATTATTATTTTTTGATCTTTGTCTTTGTTCTTTTAGATACAACCAGCATCACAGATTACACCTTCAAAGAAAAAGCAGCAAGCAGAAGAAGTTCTGACAACTGTAATTTTATCACAAGGCATGTCTAAAGGATGAAAGCAATGGTCCTTTAGCTGTTCACTCTGTCTTATCATTCATTCACCTGTTAGCAGAAATTATTTTCACAGGAAGCAAAATCTGGTTTGATGCTGTGGGAGTATTTCGTGGTGAATACACTGTGAAAACCCCTGGAAACTGCAGTGGTGATAACTAAGGTTCTTTAGAAAAATCGCTTTTTCTACCTCTTCCTAGTCACAGTTGGATTTAATAGCGACACAATCATGAACATTATCTTTTCAGAAAAATTGTCAGAAGGTTGAACTGGTCAAGAATTCAATAAATCTAGCTTAATGAGTTTTCTTTTTACAGCAGAGGAAGAATTTTCTTTTATGGCTACTTCCATGGATATGAGATATTACAATGACTTGCTGAATCAGATTCCCGAGGAATGCTTTTCTGTGCCCATAATGCTGAACTGCATGCTGGAACAGGTGGAAATATATATTTTTCTCTTCCCTCAGCTAATTCTTTCTAGACTTGGTATAATGATTGATCAAAGATCAATAAATCAATCTCTTTCATACTAAAACAGAAGGTTATGAATGGAGGCACTGACGATGGAGGTTCAATATTAAGGATTCATAACTAAAACATGGCTTTCTTTTTTTTTCCTTTTATATTGTGCTCACTTATCCTGTAAATACAGTATTACCCTAAAGTTTCATTTTTAAGACTACAGATCCAATATGATCAAATGAGGAAAAAGGTGTCATTTTATAAGTAAGTCAGGAATTGTTTTTTCACATCCTATGCAGCAGTATTGAACTTGTAATACTTAACTAAGTACAAAGGTCTTATGGCAACCTTAACAATACAAGTGCTATGTATCTATGCTAGCACTAGACTGGTCTGATTACTTTTGAGTTCAGGCAAAATCCACACATTACCAAAACCCCACAGTATGATTTGAAAATCTTTCTTATTTTTGAATTGAAATTTCAGCACAATTTGTTTATCCAAAGATAGGCTTATGCAAAAATACTCAAGAAAAAGTGTGACACCTGAAATGCAGACAGAATCTGTGTTAATTACAGTTCTTAACATTTCAAGTTGTAAATCTTTTTCTTCTCATCCTTCTGAAGGTGAATAATAAGAGAACATATTTCTGTTTTCCATAATTGTGGCTGCTTATACCAAAAAGAAAGAAAAAAAGGTTTTCTTTTTGTTTCCTTACAAAATATATGGATAAGTGTTTAGTTTATATGTAACTTACCACAGAATCTGCCTGGTAATTTTAATGATGTTAAGCAGCAGTAATATTTTAATGAAAGCTACCATATACTATGTTCACTAGGTTATTGCAAGTGAAGAAAACCTAACACCACCTAGTCTGGTGGTGCCAGAAGAACGGGCAGATGGGATACATCATAAGATTGCAGATCATATAGCCTCTGTGCTTCCTTCACTTCCACTTTCTGAGAGTGAAAAAAAGGTTTGCATTGTCTTTAGTTTGTTTCCTACAATAACACATTTGTATTATTATTGGTGTTTAATGCATCTTTCTTTTTAACAGAATCTGTATGACTACTTTTCTCCCAAATACAGCGAAGAAACTGTAACCCCCAAATACCCACTCCTATTTAACTACCACGATACTCTAGCTCAGCGCTTGCACCTGCTGAAGGTATAGTGCTATCTGTCACATATGAAAAGTTCTAAAGTCCACGGACAGTAAATACTCAAGGCATTAGAAAGAACTGAGTGAGTTTTGCTTTACAAAAACACGCAGTATAGATTACATTTTTCCATCTGGGATAGACACTAACACAAGTCCTTAGTCTGCTTAAGAAGCAATGGATTACTTATACAGACTGAGGACACATCATAACACAGAGTATTAAATGGATATACTGTTTGCATTAATAATAAGATTTATTTTTTTTATGTAAATGAGTGATGTTACAGAATTCTGTTGATTTACTCCAGTATTGCAAAATTTTTGAGTCTAGGTAGCACAGACAAATATCTTCTATTATTATGCTCTCCGTCATTCTCTTTTTATCTCACTTTTCTTGCCCAAAATATCTGACACCATGATTCAGTAAAGCACTGTTAATATCTGATTGGCTTAAACACACACTTAAGTCTTTTGCTGCAAAAAGACTTACTTATTCTAACTTGCTTTTTTAGCAGTCCATTGGTGTTAAAGTTTAATTTTTTTAACTCTAGTACTTTGGTGTTTGTTTTAGATCCAAGGCAACTTAAATCCGAAAAAGATTGAACATGAAATGATGGATAAATTGCCTCTTAAAGAACTTATCCATTTCACCCTTCCTTCAGCTGAAAATGACTCTAAACGCTTGGCCAGAGTTCACGAGCTTATGCATTATTGTACCAGTGGTGAGCTGATTTTCATTTATATAACTTCTTCCTTTTTCTTCTTATTGATGATCCTATTAAAAAGTGGGAATTTGAGGATGAGATTTTTCAGCTACCTAAAACCTGTGAGGAATTTCCCATTTTTCATATTCTTGATTGTAACATGGCAAGTTATACAAGTTAAGCTAACTTCACACCTCAGTTTCATGGTAATTGGACAAGGCAAATGAGTATTAAGCATTGCAAAACTAAGAGCTGGCAGTATCTCAGAAGTCTCTTGTTTACTTATTTATGTTTAGTAACATACAAATGGTTACTGTATCTGAGAAAGAAAGAAACAATCTTGCAGATTTCTGTTTTGATGTTAGCACACAGTGCTTTTTGGTAAATAATGACATAAATCATATATTTATTTACCAGCATCCTTGGGGTGGAGGAGCGTGTGTTTTTTAGGTAGAAAATTTTTATTACACAGTAACTGGTTTTCAAAATATATTCTTTTTAAGCTTCTGCTGTTAATAATGAACTGGCTTTTATAATAGTCTCTTTAACAAACCAGCAGAATACGTTCACTTCTTCAACCATAATCACTTCTGCAATTACCTTTTCTTGGAATGTGCCCACCACCATGACGTACACTGTGAAACAATCCCAAAGGCTGCATGAATACCTTTAGGCATTTTTGAAAGTTTACAACTTCTAAGAAATATGAACATCACGATCTCTTTGGTTACATTTGTGCCATCATATAAGCGGCAGTATTTGGAGGTACTTTCCTGGTTATTCATTCCCCAAATGCCATGTGTTGGATTAGTTTACACTAGCTGCACTGTGTCTAGGTGTTGGTATGTTCATTTTAGACAGTGTGTTTTAGCTATTACGGTGTTCTATATTGCTGTAGCTTGCCAGCTACTGGATATCAATTTTGATGATCTTCACTGGACCATACTGTACTGCTAGGCTTTACCAACTGTTAACTTTGATAGTAATTTCTTCACTTTTTCAGGATTTGCAGTGTGCTTGGGTACTTAACTACTGCAAGGAGAGAATCTTTCAATCTGAATAAACTTGCCTAAAATTCAACATTTCTCCTGATTATCACTGTTAAACAAACACTCATGCAAACAACCATAAGTAGCATTTATTGTCTTTACACCTTGAATTCTTCTATGGAAAGTGTGTGTAAAATTTGTTTTCAAGGTAAAAAAAAATTTTGAAATTTTGCTTGAAAAGTTACTGATGATAAAAAACGTTAATGATAATGGAAGCTTTTTCATGAGCTGCAGTTGAAAATAGCTAGCTGTTAATTGGTTTGATACAGTGTATTCAGTATTTTAAAATCATCATAATTTTTATAAAGCTAATGAGCCGGGAAGTCTTCAGATGCAGGAAGCACTTCGTTTAAGATGGATTAACAGTTAGGTATATCATTTTGCAATTTGGAAGCATTCAACTTTGAATGCAGTATAAAATGTAGCTGACATAATTTGATCCTTTACCATTAAGGAAATTGTTGTTGGCTTTTGCAGAGTTGCCAAGAACAATATGCTTGCATAGTTTTCTATTTATCTTCTGCTGAGCCACAAGAACATTTTCTGCTAATGATTGTAATTCTCATATAGAACTTCTGAGTTGGGCTGAAGTGGAAAGAGCCTTCAGAGTGTTTACTTTTGAAAGCCTGAGGCTGACTGAGCTGAGTGACTCTGGACTCCTGGAGAGCTCTGGATCTCTGATTGGAGGTGATTCTGAAGTATCTTGTATACCCTGGGATAATCCAGCCAAGTTTGCAAGGCAGCTGAGACAACTCTACCTTATGGAAACGAAACTTAATGGGAAATCACCAGGAGGCTCTGGTAAAAACCTCTCTGTTTATGTTACTCCTGAAGAATTTGGATCTGCTATTTATTTTACCATATCATTTGCTGTTACAGGCCAGTGATTTTTATTCCTTATACAAATCATCAAATTTCAAATATTGTGTAGTCTGAACATTGAGTATATACATAAAGACAAAAATTAGCTGTTTTTGTATGATATAACTTTAAAAAGTTGATTTATCAACTTATTAAAATGGTATGTGTAAAAAGCTGTGTACTAGAAAACTATTTTATTGCTAATGACATTAAATATATATTTAAAGGTGTAGAATACTGAACATGAGCTTAAATACCTTTCTGAATGGAGGCTCCTTTAAGCTGTAATGGCTCCTGAGTTTTTGTCACCTTAGTAGCAACCATGGAGTAAGATCAAATGCGATGCATAGGGTGTTAGTCAACTAATTTGATGATTAGTTGTGAATGAGTATTAGGAGTGGGTAAGATACATACCATACATACCATACACATAAAGACTCTAGATAGTGATGTGAAAAGTTGAAATTTAATTTAAAAAAAAAAAAAAAAAAACAAACAGAAAAAAATCTGTGCTATGCTTTGTAGTTAAACATGCATATGTATCTTTTACTTTGTAGAAACTAAAAGAGGGGTGATTTAGGTGGGGCATAAGGAAGGTTTTTTACAGTCTTGGGTGGTGAGGCACTAGAACAGGTTGCCCAGAGAGGTGGTGGAAGCCCCATCCTTGGAGACATTCAAAGTCATACTTGAGCAGGCTCTGAACAACCTGATCTAGCTGAAGATGTCCCTGTTCATTGCAGGGCAGTTGGACTAGAGGTCCTTTCCAACACAAATGGTTCTATGAAATCTGGCCTAGCTTTGTCTGTTTAAATGGGTCTAACCAAAGCTAATTGTTTAGACATCTTCTGTGTAAAAGAAGGATAATTTATCTGGTGTTTCTTAAAGTCTAATTCCACTGTAGCATAGATACCTACAGCAGCTAAAGCGACAGGACTTGAATCTATCATCTCCTCATCTGAACTGCCATATTTCTGCATTTCTGCTTTTGTTACAACTGGCATTTCTCAAATCTTAGAATCATAGATTCGTTAAGGTTGAAAAAGACCTCTAAGATCATCTAGTCCAACCATCAACATATCACCACTATGCCCACTTAACTATGTCCCTAAGAGCCACATCTGCATGTTTCCTGAATATCTCCAGGGACGGTGACTTCACCACCTCCTTCAACAGCCTGTTCCAATGCTTCACCACTCTTTCTGAGAAGAAGATTTTCCTCATAACCAACCTGAATATACCCTCTCATTCCATTGTTAGTTACCTGGGACACCAATCCCTACCTCACTACAATTTCTTTCTAAGCAGTTATAGAGAGCGATAAGGTCTTCCCCTCCTCCAGTCTAGACTATCCTAGTTCCTTCAGCTGCTCTTTATAAGACTTGTGCTCCAGACCCTTCACCAGCTTTGTTCTTTGTTGTTTTTATATGCTCCAGTGTCCTGTAGTGAGGGGCCCAAAACTGTATTCAAGATCCAGCCTCACCAGTGCCAAGTACAGGGAGATAATCATTTGCCTAGTCCTGCTGGCTACCTGACTCCTGATCCAAACCAGCATGCAATTGGGTTTCTCGACCACCTGGGCACACTGCTGGCTCATGTTCAGCCAGCTGTCAGCTAACACCCTCAGATCCTTTTCCTCCCACAGCTCTCCAGCCACCCTGCCCCAAGCCTGTAGCATTGTATGGGGTTGTTGTGACCGAAGTGCAGGACTCAGCACTTGATCTTGTTGAAACTCGTACAATTGGCTTCAGCCTATCAATCCAGCCTATCCAGATGCCTCTGTAGGGCCTTTCTACTCTTAAGCAGATCAACACCTCCTCCCACCTTGGTGTCATCTGCAGACTTACTGAGGGTGCACTCAATCCACTCATCCAGATCTTCTTAGAGGTGTTAAACAGGACTGGTCCCATTACTGACCCCTTTGTGACTAGCTGTGTGTGATTCCATTCATCCCCACTGTTGGGGCATGACAGTCCAGCCAGTTGTTTATTCAGTGAGGAATACACCTGTCTAAGCCATGAGCAGACAGCTTCTCCAGGAGAATGCTGTGGGAGGTGGTGTCAAAGACTTTAGTTACTCTACTTTGTAGACTACATCATGTAGTGAACTGGTTCTAGAAGCCACATTCAAAATAAGAAATTATTTTTTTGAGATCTGAGAAAAGTAAAAATCAGATCAGTTTAATCTGCTACATCTTTATATTTATGATATTGTCCATTCTCTGCTACTGTAGATGTCTAAGCAACCATCTTAGATAGGAAGTTTGAGCAGACAAAATGAATCTTGCTTATCTGCTTTTTTTCTGCAGCTTGAGAACAGTTTTGTTGTTGTTTTTTTTTTAATGTTAGTTTATTTTACTTCTATGTTAGTCACAATTCTAAATATTGTAGTTACAAACTGAGCTGTCAACATTTCAGTGCTTCTGCAGTACGAAATACCAGGAAGATTAAGCTTTTGCAATGAGTTTTCTTTAACCTCCTAAAGGCAGCCAGCAAACAGATGCAATTTTTCAGAGAAGCAGAGTCTAAGAATGCATGTCTGGAAGCTGAGCTGTTTATGAACCATTTATGAACAAATAATTTCAGGAGTATTTCTTTGGAGTAGAATTTTTCTTGTATATCTGAATTTTAATCAAATGTTAGTGAATTCTGCCCTACATTAGGGCATTAAGAATTCTATTAAAAGAAAATTATTTTTAAGAGTGAGAGAAAATACAAGAATATAGAAATGAAAATCTCCATGTAATCCTATTAATGTCCGGTGCCCATTGTAATAATGATAGTTTATCAGTCTAATCTGTGCATCACAATTACTACTTAGATCCTTGGTAGGTGTAATGTTTTGTCATTAGCTTATAGAGTTCTACAAATCCAGTTAATTAAGTTTAAAATACATGGTTTCTGAGAATTCTAATATCAAAATAATTTATTCCAGCTTTTCTTTATGTTATCTCTGCAAAGGAATACTTGTTTCTCAGGTAATGAGCTGGTTCTTTACCTGTGAATCTTGAGGCCACTTCTTAGAGTATTTTTAATTTTTTTGGGCAGGCAAAGCTATTACAGGTTGTATAAAGAAGATAATTTGAGTGGATTTCCCTTTTTCCTTTCCTTTTTTTTTTCTTTTTTTTTTTTTTTTCTGGTTAATGATCTCGTTCTTAGTGTGTATGGATTTCAAAGTGGCTTGAAAGTGATCATGTATTTAGCAAACTAATGTCATAAAAGGAAACTTTAGTTTGCTGGCAATCTCATCAAATATGCTAAGGAAGTTGCAGCACTCTGACCTTAGTGTTTAGGGCTGAAATTTCTGGAACAGTTCTTAAAATTCAGTTTTCAATTTCTAGGACATGCAAAAGGAAAAGACAAGGATGAAAGAGATGGTCTGGCTGTTTTGAACAAAAAATTGGATGTTTCTACTTCTGATCTGGCAAGTGTGATGAATGGAGTAAACTCTGCTTTATAGCGTGAGATAACAGAAAGTGCTGTTCAGTATTGGGAAATGTTTACACAAATCCAGTCCTGCATGCAGATGACAATTTTGTCATGTTTGGGGAATATGGAGATGACTGTTAAGCGCTATCTGTCACTTTCTTTGAATTCTAATGTGATGGGTTTGGTGAAGCTACTAATGGAAATGCAGGTTTTACTGAATACCAGGAGTCAAATACTTGAATGAATGTTCAAGAAAAATTGCCAAACTGTTTCAAACTAACAGACTGAGCGTTTTGGCTCCTTCAGAAACACCTGCCTGCCATACAGCCCTGGATAAATACAGCAATTTTAAAATCACTTCATAATACCCGTCTAAATATTCATAATTGCTTACAGCACTCAAAAACATATAACCTAGCAATAAAAATAGTTGAATTATGTTTGACATAAAAAGCCAAAAGCAAAAACCTTTGGGAGCAGTTGTTGGGTTTTTTTTATTAAATATTGCCATACGGCTCTGCACGTGTGCAGCATTATGCAATTAACTGTGAAGTAACATGTGATGCTGTCTATTAAATCAACAAATTACAGTTAATTTGATACAATTGACACTAAAATGTTGATAATCATTACTTTGTTTCATTGTATTTTGAGGTGAGTCTGGAAAATTCTGGTCTGGAACCAAAACTGGAAGAAATAAAAAAGACTCAGAAACGTTGTCTGACAGACTGGAATTTTGCTGAGCGTTTTCATCCTGATGTCCTTCTTCAGGTATTTGTGAACAGACGGTTTTGTAGATTCAGTCATGTCTCAGAATTAGTAGGGGAATACAGGGTATTTCCCTCCTAGATAATTGGTTCAATTTCATCACTGATGCATTTTCACCAAAACTCGTTGTTCAGCTGCTTTAAATCTTGCATGAGAAGCTGAAGTTAATAATTGTTTTTTATTTCATGGTTTGGCCACACTGCAGCTGTTTTTTTCAGTATGATTCTTTTAACTGTGTGATGAAAAAAAAATTACCCTTAAAGGTGACCCTCCCTGATCATTACAAGATTAATTAGCCCACTATATGTGAAAGCATACTTTACATATACTTGTACAGCATATGGTTTATGGACAAGCAGGAAATTTTGTCATAATAATTCTTCACCCTTTGAAGACTACAAGCTTTATTTACAGAAATCTTGTGAGCTAAAGACACAATTGATCTTGCAGAAAGAACAACAAATGCAAAAGATGAGTTCAGGTGTAGATGACATGAGGCATTCTCTTTGGAGAAGTAGATTATAAATTCAGGGCTGTTTTGACCTTCAAGGCAATTCTTTTTGATCCTCACACATGCTTATGCAAGGATAGAGAAATGGCAGCTTTTTCAGCAGTACTTTAGCATCCCCTCATTAGGGTCTGGGTAATAGATTTCAGTACATGGGGAATTCCTACTTAAGCAAGATAAACAGCTAATACAAACTAAACTGTCAGTAATTAGTGTCAAGTCAAAAGACGCTGATGGAAAACAACTGCAGAAGAAAACAGCAACATTTTGTCGATGGTATTTCTTTATTTCACATATAAGCACTGTATAGGAACTGTTGAGTCACTGCCTAAACCCACTGTTTGATCACCTGGAGAGAGGATCCGATCAGCCCTGGGAGCACAGGTGAAGGCAGTTCACCTGTGTGACTGGAAAGGGTGGAGCCTGGCTGCACATCTTTTAGACCCTATTTAAGGGCTGACTGCCACAGAGGAAGTCTCTCATTAGAGATCCCTCCCTTGTAGAGTTTTCCTCTCTGAGCCTAGATCTTTTTCTGTTTGTCTCTTTTGCTGTTTTACTTTTGTATCAGATTTCCACTGTACTAATCTTTCCAACTGTAACAAGCACCATTTATACAACCAGGTGATAACGAGGTTTTCATATTTAAAGAGAATGCTTGTTGATATGGAATTACTTCCATCTCATTTCATTTTGATAGTTTTGTAGAAACAGTAGCTTGAAAGAAAGTTTTGTATTAGATATAGCTATAAGTTGCAGCTTACAGAGAATGTAAACATTGGAAGTGATGGTCTATACAGAACAGCGTGAAATAATGTATAACACAACAAATGTCAGAGATGTTCAGGGCACAGTAGAGTAAATTGGATACAAAATGAGCTGAAAAACAGCTTGTTTCTTTTTTTCTACCCACTTTACAGTAGTTCTGCGTTTACTTGTTATGTATTTATTTCAATACTCGTTATGTATTTATTTCAATACTCATTTTAAAATCTTAAAAATATATGAATAATAATTTATCTATTCTTTAACTGAATTATTTCATTCGTGGTCTGATTCAGAGGTGAAAGGCAGAGAGTATGTATTCTCCATATGGATAGTGGCAGAGTTTCAGTTTCCACATGCTGGATCACTGCAGATTGCTAGAATCCAAGTAGTTTGCGTGCATCCTACAGGAAGAGTGAAGTTCTGAAGTACCCATTGCTGAAAGCTGTGTTGTTTACCATCTACACATACTACTGTGTACAAAGAGGATGTACCTTTCTTTCTTTCCTTTTCAGGTTCTTCATACTGCAGCCCAGGAATATAGATGTATCGATTCCTATTATCATACACAAGATAAGTCTTTGCTAATGGTTCTTCACAATCCTATGAATCAGAATCGTTTGTGCCGGGAGACTTGGGATGTTGCATTGCACTCTAACGTTGGATTCAGGTAATTAATTTTATCACTTCTATATTAATCATAGTCATTTTCAATTAAAGCCCTATATGGTCATGGCAAATCTTTTGAAATTTCATCCTGCATGATCAAAGGTTTGAAATTAAAAGGTATCATGATGTAATTACATTTAAGAGAAAGCAAGGCATAAAGGTAGAGAGCAGTACTGTATCAAAAGAGTTTTGATGAGATAATGCTTTTCATAGTGAGGAGAACCATACAGTAACTGTGCATGAGTCCTTATCACATGGTTTAAGAATATGATAATACACACAAAGTCAAATTAGGGATATACGTGTCAAGAAAATAATGTTGATCTGGTGGAGTTCAAATGGCAAACTGTCTAAAAACTTAATTTCCATGTTTTTCAACCATAGTTATATGAATGGTACAGCTATCACATAAAGTTTTTCTGGGAAAAGCTAGAAGCCTTTTATTAGTATTAGGATCTTTTTTTTTTTTTCTCTTGGAATAACACATTCCTCTTAACTGTCACTATCTGCTCATCAGTAAGAAGTATAAATGTGCTACTATTAGAGCTTTTTCCAGTGGATATATTTATTTTGGTACCTTTTTGCACTGCTGATATATAGTATAGATTATATGAATCCAACTGCTATTCCAGTTTGTTGATCAAATGTAGAATATGTGTCAATGTACTGACATGTTAAGAAGCAATAATGCTATGGAGAGACATCTGAGCTAGCTTTAACCATAACACAGTGGTTCTCCGTGAATTATTTAAATCTGATTCATCAAATAAAGTTAAAAGTAACTTATCAGTGGACAAACTTGTTGGGTTTTTTTTTTGGTTTTTTTTTTTTTTTTTCTGCAAGTCTACCAGTAAGCATCACTATCTGAGGAACCTATTCTATTTATCAGAATATTGGACTCTTTCAATGTAAATTTTTGTTGATACCAACAGATTTAAACAGGTTTTAATGCTAAGTAGGTGAAGTGTGCCTTCCAGAAGACATACTTTGTACTGGTTTTGCTCTTAGGGAAATCTACGTGAATCCATCTCAGTTTGTTGTGATTAGCAGTGACTTATCCTGAGGACCTGCTGTTGTGTTACCTGTAGGAGCAAATATGTGGAACCAGACTTCCTCAGGAAGCAATTAGACTTGAAACAACTCTTCTAACAATTCCTAAAACAGTTTGGCAGCTCACCTCGACACAGTATTGAAATAGTCAATTCAAGGCCAACTGCAAAATGAGAAGAGCTCTTGAAACCTTCAAAACAAAAGATAATGATTTTACATCCAAAGAAGGAGTAATGCACACTCTTTGGCAGACAAACTAGTTTTGCTGAGGCTGTGCTAGCTATATGTTTAGTCATTATTATTCTTCCAGATACACTGGAAACAAGACTTGAACATTAAATACAACTTCTTGGTAGGGCATGCCAGCTTTGTTCACTGACATTTCTTGGAGTTCTGTTTCAAAGCAGAAAGGCATTCCTAAAGAAACTAGAATGAAAGCTAACTGAAAGGTTTGATTTTACTCTTCTTTTGGGGAAATACTCTGTGCTCTCTGTCTGCTATTTAGTATCTATGAAGAGCTGTAGGCTCTTGTTTAGTTCTGTTATGTAGCATCTGTACCTGCCTTTTCTCTGCAAAGTAATTACCACATTTTCTGACCTTACTCAACCTTTTTGCTTAAGATCATGTCAGATTTCCAGACAAAGTAATCACAAATATTTGCTAGCGTATGTTTCCAAGCAACCTAACACTTCTTTGGAAGTCTGTCTTTAAATACCTGGAGCACTTCAAGCTGTAGCCTCTCTTGGATTCCAGTCTTGCTGAGTTGCCATACACACAGTCAGAAACCCTACTTGCTAACCTGCTTAGTAACGTAGTTGTATTGCTTGTGGCACTTTACTTTTCTATGAAATATTGGCCTCTGATGTAACTATGGATTAATTTTCCTTTTATTAAAATTACTGTCATTCTCATTGGGGGGTTATATTTAGGAGTCACACTTTCAGCACAGGGGAGATATTTGACTGTCTCTCTGTTATGGATTTTCTCCATGTGTGTTTACTTGTTACTTCTTTGTTGTGATATCTTACAAACCAGATACCTGCTTTGTAGGGTTGTTCCATAGTTGCTCTCTGGGATATAGTTCTTTTACCTGCATACTTGAGAAATTGCTGCTAGTCAGTGGATTTCAAGTAGTTCCTTTTATGGCAAATTCTCATACAGAAGGGAATCAAATTTTGTGTTGCAGCAGCTTGATTTGGAGTTGGTTTTGCTCCTGGAGAGCTCAGTTACTTCTTCTTCTTCTCCATGGCTATGAAATCCTATAGTTTGTGTAAAACATCCAAAAAATGCAAGAATTGTATCCTTCAGGCACAATTGGTCAGGCAGTATGAGAATGCCTCTGAAATCCAGTGGATTCTATGGACTAACTGGGTCCAAAGGCATGGGCTCAGTGGTACATGTGTAAAAATCCTTCATTTCTGTTTAGAAGTGACCACTCTATCAGAAAGCCAAGTTGATTTCAACATTGTCGTAACTATTCTTTTGCTGAAAGTGAATCTTAATGACATTTGTTTACTGTTTCATAGTAAGCACATTGCACAAGTTACTGGAAAAAATAATTATTTCTGAGAAATGATTCTGAGTCAGACATTGGCAGTAGTGACATCAGAATACATATTAATAGAATATGTATTTTTGACTTTGAATGACTGTTTCGTTGCCCTAAAATACTTTCCATGCGAATAATCTCATTTTTATTTATAACATATATTCATCTTCAAGTTATTCCAGTACTGGCAACTCTAGGTCTAGCTTAGCTTTGCATTTGATTTTCAGCACCTCTGTTTTTCTAACTTGTATTCTTTGATTCAAATAAAAGCAGAGTTGCCTTGTCCCTGCTGAATACATGACAAACAGTTTCTCTATGCAGGTATCTCAAAGCAGGCTGTATGCACACTGCAGGAAGTAGGTCAGACTAGTATATCTTCAAGCTGTATATAAGCTGTGTATATATCCAGCCTATGTACACAGCTTACATATTAAATCTCTTTGATATACAGGGTAATGCTACAGTAATAAATTTGAAACCATCATGAGGTTAAAAATTGCTTGGTCTGCGTTCACAACCAAAGTCTGTGGATACTGCCATGGCTTTAGAATACAGTGGAAGCATCTTGAACTCTTGAGTGAAAAAAATTGTGAAGATAAAATGACTTCTATGCATGCTTCTTTTACTTTTATACTTGATGAATTATGGTAATGCTCCAAACAAGAGATTGAGGAATAACTGCATGTGCAATTTTTAGCTTTTATCTTGCCTTGAAAGCAGTCATGCACAGTAAACTATTTAGTAGTTTCAGATACCACTGGAAGACAAAATAACACAAACTCTGCATCAGTTTATCATTCAGTGCTGACTCACACTATTATTTACCAATATTCTTAATTTATGACAGGCTACAGTGCACTGATTCTCTAATCTGAATTTGGGTGATAATTTCCAAATGTCTTTCCTTGTCATATTGATAGAAAAGAGCTAGAAAATAAGCAGAGTGCTAGAAACTAAGCAAAATAACACCTTCTTAGCTGTCAAACAAACAAAAAAAAGTGTATTTTAAAAGGCAATATAAATCAAGAGCAACTAAGAAAAGAAATAGAATTGGTCTGAATGTCTGTTTTCTGGATGTCTGGATTTTGTTTGATGGCAGATGTTCTTTGGAAGACAAGTTTCTACTATTTCTTTGCAGTCAGGAGAACCCAAATCCCAAACATCAGTTATTTTAAACAAGTATCATTCAGGCATAAATACCAGTGTCTGCATTTAAAAAAAAATAAAAATTAAAAAAAAAAATCTGTTAAACACAGTCCTTCTCTCAAAGGTCACTGCATAATATTCATATAAATTGAGAAGCTGAGTGAATTTTTCCTATCTGAAATCATCTTAGTGAAAATTGTATTATTGTAAATAGATAAATGTTACGCTTTTCAGGAACTATCTTGAGCTGGTGGCCAATTCAATTGAAGACTGGGTTAAAGAAGAAGAAGTCAAATATCAAGAGAAGAGGATAGCTAGAGAAATAAAGGCTCTTAAGCAGGGAGAAGGTATGACAGAAGGACCATCTGAATTTTTTGACTGTGCTGTCAAAAAGCCTGGCTTATCTATAAAAGCTTTAAGTGGGTATCTTTCTGTTTTATCCTAGAAAATTCGTTTGTCATGGTAAGAGCTGAGACCCAAATCTGTTCATAGTAAAATCCCATATATTTTTAGGGCAAGCATGTCTTGTCATCTGTATATACATAAACATCTTTTGAAATTAAGTATATTTACTTAAATACTCTGCATCATCCTTCATTTTGCAAACTTGAGTCCATTAATATAAATATACACTTTCAGGATCTGTTTTCATTTAATGGAGTTACTTGAAAGACTACATACAACTATGAAATCTCTGTCATGTGACATATGTGAATATGAAGAGACAAACAGCAATTGAAATCGACAGCTTTTTTGAAAAAGCAGGGTAAAAGCTGGAAGTCAGAAGCTGCAGACTAGAAACTAAAACTGGAAACTGGAATTAACTAGACTGCAAAGCGAACTTTAACTACAAGCAGCGTTTTGAATATCAAAAATAGTAAGCAGCTTATGCAGTAAATGTTGAGCAGGCAACAGATTTTTTAACACAAATATTGACAAAAAAGAGAGCTTTTGTCCAAATTTTCAATGTGTGTATTTAAGTGGAATTTAAAATGATTTGTTCTGTAGCCTTTACTTTACTAACTTTCTTTGAGAATTTACTTTGAAACTTTCTAGCACTAAAGATTACCATTTACAAAAGTCGGATTGCCATTCCTTAACTAGCTTAATGCTTCTGAATGCTTGAGAACCGAAAGGACATTTATGACTTTAGAATCTTATGTTGCACCCATGTAGCTCTCCCAGTTTTGGCTTAATTAGAGCTAATTTTCTTTGGTAGTGTCTGATACAATGATGTGTTTTGTATTTAGGAGGAAAATAACATTGACAGTACCCCGGTGTTTCAGGTGTTACTCAGCAGTGCTTGCACGAAGTGTTTTTCTGCTTCTCGCACTGCTCTGCCAGCAGGGTGGTTGGGAGTGCACATGAAGCTAGGAGGGAACACCATGAAGACTGTTCACCCAAAACAGCCAAAGGAACATATGGCCCCCAATTATGAATGCCAATTAATACTAGTTGTGAGATAAATTTCTTCTAATCTGAGTAGCGTATTATATCTCTAAAAATATTTAACATTGACTTTATTCTGCTCTTATACTTGTATATTTTACTATTGACCAATGTGTATTTTATTTTGTTTACTCATACCATTTTTATTTTCATTTATGAACTTTTTTTTTTACAGTTGTTCAATTTTCACATATTTATGATCACAGTTATTCCTCCTCCTTTTCTCAAAGACAGCACATCAAGACCAGAGAGCATAATGGACACCGTTCTAGAATCTCAGTCCATCAATGAAAGAAGACCTTTTATTAGAGAAGGTTCTCTTAAGGTATGGCAAGAAGGTGTATGGTTCTGAAAAGGATTTAATTAACACTGATTTGCCAGAAAGGCATGCTTTCATTCTTATGTAGACTTATGCATACTTGCACTATCCGTTATACTCGGTAGATCTAGCTTAACTGATGCTGCACTCTCTTGGTTCTTTTAGACAGTCATAGTGTATCTATCTCATGAAATGGCTTTAACCAATTCCTGGGTACTCAACTTGGCCTAACTTGTAATTGTGAATGCTTACTGTTTCTTTCATGATAATGTTAGTGCATTAGTGTGCTTAGAACATAAAATGCTAACCTGGAAAATGTCAAATGCCTAATGTTGTTGTCTTAGTGCAGGTTAATAATTCTGGTCTTAATAGCTCTTTCCTCTTTCTGTAAAAGATAAAACAATTTTATGTCACATTTTGGGAATAAATTCAGTCAGTAATTTGTTCTGATATGGTGATAAACATTGTAGAAAAGTGAACTATAAAATCAATAATTCCCTATGACTGAGTGTGTAGGATACAAATTATCATCTGGTACAACTCTTTTGGTCAAGAATGACTGATCCTGTGAATTGAGTGTGTCAGTAATTTTATGCAGATTATAGTATGTAATATTGTAAAACTGGAGGCAAGTTTTAAAATTATTATTAACTTAGAAGACCAAAGGAATCTATGTTATTTTGAGTTTGTTTACTCATACCCTTTTCACATATAAAATATCATGGATTAGAAAGTAACCTGAACTCCTGATTATCATTTAGGCTAGCAAAGAGAATAAATTACTAGAGGAAGAACGACTTAAGGAAGAGAAAGAAGCAAAGAGAGAAAATTTGAGTGGTAAAATGAAAAGACAAGAGACAGTAATATGTGAAGAAAGTGAAGGTTCCGATAAGAAATCTTCCGAAGAGAAGCTTAAGGGTGAGCCAGCAAAAGTGCCTGAACCTGAGGAGGATCTCAGCATTCCAGAAACACAATCTGAGAAAATTTATAAGGTAAAGACTGTTATTATTTTACCACATTAGGAGATTGTCAGCTACTTATATATAGCCAAGATTAGCAAAGCTATAATCCTTTATGAAACTGAAGTGCAGGACTAATTAATCATAGCTAGGTCCTGTTCAATTCTATCATTTTCAGATTGCTTCCTAAAAGTTTTGAAATGCAGCTTCTGTTATTTAAGACTATTTAATTAACTTGGATGTTTTTAAATGTATGTGACATAAACACTTGATATTTTGATATTTTTGATATTGGTTTTGTGTCCCTGGTTAGTATTTTCATAGGATGAATTTTGCCTAAAGAAGTGTCATTTATGGGAGAGGGTAGGAAGGGTAGGAGGACCTGTTCCAATTCATTTATCTGGGGACTGCTAGACCTGGCTGAAGTTTTGGCTATACACATTGGAAATCAAATAAAAGGAATCTACTGTTTCTTCCATTTCCTGTTTCAAAGTTCATGTCCTTGGAGTGCCATAATACAAGCTATTCTATCTGTTACACTAACAGAGAGAGATATCTTACTGAGGGAACTCTTTACCAATAGTATCCAAACCATTTTTAGGCAGTTTGCACTGGGTTTTATTTGCAGAGTAAGCCTTACATCCAAGACTCATTCCAGAGTTTTCTTCTCACTATACACCATGAAACTATAGACCTGCAGAACAAGTATTAGACTAGATATTCCAAAAGCAATTTATTGTTGCAGAACTGGGAAATGACAGTGATGGATAATATCCCACTTCTCCCTGAAATTTGCTGGACATTAATCTACAAAAACAGAAGATTCAGATTCATGAAAGTAGTTCTCCTATTTTCATTACTTACATCTCTTCGAAACTTAGGAATGTAAATAAGGAAGCTTAGAGTTCCTTTATGGCACAGAATTCTATTTCCTAGATATAAACAGTGGTTATGTACTGCAGATGAAGTGACCTCCTTAAGTCAGTATACTTTAGTCTGAGCTTGCTTGTGTACACCCTACAAAATCATAACTATGTAAATTTCTGATCTGAACTTGCCTAACGGTACACTCCATGTCTGAATTCCAAAATCCAGGGCTGGAAATCAGAATCCTTATCAGATTTGGTTTGGACATACAAATCTCATGGCATTGTACTTTGAATTTTCTCTTTGTATTTGGCCAGAATTTTTCTTTCTCTCTTTTATTTATTAAGCCACCAGACTACTTGCTACTTTTTAGTTCCCATGGTGGCTATGTACAACTGAATAACTGGATTCTACACTCATGTGAAACAAGTTACTTCAGTTAGAAAGTGATATATTACTCAGGTGTAAGAGTAACATGCCATATATTTGTTAAAGTCACAATTAGATCTCTGAACAAGAAATATTGATCCGAACAATGTTAGTGTGATTACCCTAACCCTACTTCACAACTTTTGCCTTTTACAACTTTTGCCTTTCTCATTTACCCACAGTCTAAAACTTGCATGTTTTTCAGTTTCTTGGTTACAACACAGGGGAGAATCTCATTCAAGTATCTGGAATCAATCACTATCTTTTCCCATCTGATGGAGGGCAGATTCAAGTAGAGAAGATAGAGTTTGTAAAAGGTGATTATTTTACACTTTGCACTTTGCTTTGTCTCACTAATAGCTGATGACAAAGTTTCCTTTATCCATAAATGCTTTTTTGCATTTCAGTAGTAGAAATTCTGTTAAAGATACTGTGACAGTACCATGTAATTCCATGTTAGATTTTATTGCCGCTGAAGTTTAAGTTTTTCTGTAGTAGGTTAACAAATTCATAAAGTATTAAAAAATAGAATTGTTCAGTGGCAGCCAATGCAGTGTATTCCATGAATTCATATCCCAGTCAATTGTCCAGTGTAAGTAACAGGGTTGTTCCACAGTCTATTGGCTGTAACTGTCAGAAAGTTTTCTATATGTTTAGTAAGATGATCTAAATTCAGATAAACTTAGTTTGGTAGTCTTTGCCTAATAGTAAGAAATTGGGCCCACTTCTTTTTGTGGGTATAATTTTATTTTTGTATGACTTATAGTTGCAGATGCAGGCTTTTCTGGGGGACAGAAATCAGTACTGAAGCCTAACAGTATTCCATTGCTTTGTAGGCCTAACTTTGGTAAAGGTGAAAGTGGTAAAGGACAATCACAACTTCTTCATTCATATCACAGACCCCAAGAAAAACTTAACAGAAATTGAAGTGCATGAAAACAACGAAGAACAGAAAACTGCACCAGGTTAGTGGGTTGGCATCACTGATAAAAAAAAAATTAGTAAAAAAAAATAGTTTGATGTATTTTGTAGTCAGATGTAAACCTTATCAACTAACATAAAATAAATTCCTAATTGCAAAGAGTAAATAAGATCAGTGCTGCTGTGAATAGATGCATACTTTCAAATGAAGAATGTATACAAGAATGTATGTTATTAGGCATCATTCAAAATTATAAAGATATCAGGATGTCTGTCAATGTGAGGTATAAGTGAAATGTTCAGCTATTAGCACCACTCATCCAAAAAAGCAAACTAGAATGAATGTGTACTTCTCTGGTCACTACTATGTTTTACAATTTACTGACAAAATGAGAAGTCCAGAGAAGATGTAGAAATATTTTTTTCAGTGACCAGTCTTCCAGCTGAAATCCTTGAGGGAGTCTTGGAAACATGCAGATCTAGTACTGCCCCAGCTTGCTGGAGCAGAAATAGTCTTTGAACCTTCTGAGTCAGGAGATGAAAAAGATGGTAAAGAGGGATGCTCCATTCTGTTCTTACCCTTGAAAACTGTGTTATTTGGAATGACAGCTTATAGGGTGAGACAACTCTTTGTATCTGAGATCAGAGTGAGACTGAGTCATTAAAAAGCAAAAGGTTAAATAGTAATCCAGTTTGCTGACTTAAGCATCGTGCAGAAATCTTATTAAAGCGTAGACATAAGCATAGTGCAGGACAACAGATGCTAACCACTTTTTTAAGCAAGAAAGTCACTGAAAAAATTCACCATTCCTTAGGAGAAGAATTCTCATTTTTAGTATAGGACTCCATCTGATCTTAATGTGGCCTGGGAAAGACTAAGAGGATGCAAACTGAATTCTTTACAATACCCAGAATAAATTTCTGCTCTGAAAAGAAAAGTCTTTCCACTTTGAACTGAGTTGTCTTTTGTGTGACATATAGCTGTAGAATTAGTGCTTTCTCAGGATCTTTGGTGTAGAAACATATCCTTTCTGCAGTTCAGCTGTATCTATTGCTTGTGAGTGTCATTTAGAAACATGCCACAACTATTGAATCGCAGTCACAGAATCACAGAATGGCCAGAGTTAGACAGGACCTCAAGGATCATGAACCTCCAACCCCTCTGCCACAGGCAGGGCCACCAACCTCCCCATTTAATACCAGACCAGGCTGCCCAGGGCCCCATCCAACCTGGCCTTGAACACCTCCAGGGACGGAGCATCCACAGCCTCTCTGGGCAGCCTGTTCCAGCACCTCACCACTCTCATAGTGAAGAACTTGAGTCCTTTCTGTAACCTGCTGAGGGTGTCTTCCAAGAAGGAAGATGGTCTGTAATGATTTGATATGTATTTCTCTGCCCTAAACACTGCAGAATTGCTCATGCAGATCTGGAGAGTATTGAAAAAGTGTAACTTCAGGTAGGAGTGTTAGTTCTTTTTACCATTAGACAGCATCTTGTTCCTGCTCCTCTCCTTGGCAGCAGCTGTCACCGGTAGGTTGGATGAATAGAAAATTTGCATCCCTTCCACAGATGAAATTTCTTGTCCGCCCTTCTGAAAGTTGTCATATGTCATTTTAACGTCTGTCAGATGACACTTTCAATCACAGTGTGTTAGCATCTGAAGCCACTTTTATTCATTCAACACCAATGAGAGGCTTTCCTTCTATCTAAACAGGAATTCCCTGTGTGATAGAAATGAGCAGTTCAGCATTATTGTCAACCAAGAAGGGAAATGAAGATCCTTGACTCCAGAACTTGTTTCATTTGTTGTTTAAATTCACAAAGAATTTTCACTAATTGTTGCTGTTAATTCACCTAGCTAATTAGAAAGTTTTCCTTGCTCTATATTAATTTGTTTTACAGGTTAGTCATCCAGATTAATGTGGCACAGTTCAAATCAGTCATTTGTTTGCAAGTCAGATGGTTCTGCAGTGCGTTGCTATCATTAAAATTCTGATTTTTTTTTTTTTTTTTTTTTTAAGGAAAAATTAAAAATAAAAAGAAAGCTGTGAGCAAGTTTGGATCTTTTTCAGCCACGTTAGAAAATGGAATCCAGCTGTCCCTGAGCTATTATGGACCTACAGGGAAGACAGCAGGTAAAATAAGCAAATAGAAGAGGATATTTGAGAACCGAAGGGGGAATTCTTTTTCTTCTTTTTTTATTTTTCATGCACCCCTTAACTCAATAATTTGTTGCATGCAATTCTGCCTTTCTTAGCAGCTGTTACCACATGGTGGGGAATTCTCAGCAAAGCTTGAGATGAGATTACATTGTCAAGAATGTTCAGTGATTTAAATTTCAAAATGGAAAGAGGTCTCCATGCTTTTTTACTTACTGTGAAAACAGAGCAGTGGAGGGAGAAATTTGCAAGTATTGTTATTAAGTAGTCCAGCAAAATCAGCAAATTAATTTGAGCCAAAGAAAATGTGATTTGTTGAGGAATCTTTTTGGTTTTCCAAGAAATAATATTTTCATTAACTTATGTAGGTGATTATGGAATTTTCATTTTATGTTAGGAGTTGGCCTGTAGGTTCTAGTTGTGCAGTCATAATGAGGGATTTCTCTCAGCTTTTCAATAAACACATTCACCAACTGGAAGCAATTGCTTCACAAAACCACAGTGAAAATAGCATCTGCTTTTACCAAGAGCTTTTTGTTTCCATTGCATTTGAAAGGCCACTGAAACCATCACACGGATAAAAGTGAAACCCTCTTCTGATCAGAGAATAATCCCAGCATTATTCAGTTCTTAAAATATGAAAACATTTAATTGAGTGCACCTTTGTGTGGACTGTGGTAAACCATTCAACTATATACTCCATTTTAATTATTCAAATATCTTTTTCAAGTGATTTTCTAAAGAAGAACTATTTAAAATTGGGCAAAGATAGCATTCACAATGTAGTGGACTGTGAGAACTCTTGTATTTTGGCATAAAAATGAGTTGTCTAATTAAACACTTACATATCAGCTGTGATGTGCAGGCTTTTTGCACATATCCAATAGGCAACCTGTTCTGCATTAGAATGATCTTTGCCATGTTGAGTGTTAATGCAGCAGTGCTGACTGGCATTCTTTGAGTGTTTGCAGTTTTCCTGCAATCACTTGCTTATGGCTTCATTTCCCTTGTGGGTGTTTGTGTTGTAAGAGCTCAGAAGCATACTAACCAGAAACACTCGGGCTTAGTCTGTTTTTGCACATCATCCATTCCTAAATTAGAATGATAATGGCATGTAATCCAGAGCTTTTCTCCATGGATAGATTAAATTGTGTCACTGAAATAATTTTTTGGAGCTTCTCAAATTCTCTTTTTTTGTTGTTTTTTTTTTTTTCCTTACCTTGTTTTACCTCTTCCATATTCCTCTTTGAAGTTCAGATGAGAGAAGGACTCAGATTGTTTGCCAGCTTTTTGTTTCTTGGTTAAATTTTAATATTAAACTTCTAAATAATAAAAAATAATAATAATAAAAAGCAACTTTTAGTTTTTAGATTGTTTTCTATAGCTTAACCCAAATCTAACTTCAGATTTAGTAAGTAAGCTCTTCATCACTTTGAACTACTTGAGCTCTTCTGGAGTTTTTGCATCTGGATGTTATGAAAACTGTGCAGTTGCAGTTTGAGCCTTGATGAAATCCTGAGAGTACAGCTCCCAAGTCCTAGAGATCTGATTTTGTTTTAAACAGGAAAGGAACCTACCCTGCTTTGATAGTCCTCTGGAATTTCCCATAATTCTCAAGATTTCTGAAGATATTTGCTCTCTGTCATGACAATCCATTCTTCCATTGCTGCCTTCAGAGTGTCATCCTTTTTTCAGGACAACCAGAGTTGTAAGAGTAGGTGAAATTTCCTCAGAGGCTGAGAGCCTATAACAGCTTTTATACCTAAATAAATGCTTGTTTGTAACTAGTTTGCAGTGATCACGTGAATTTTTGTACAAACTTGATAAGAAAGATCACATTCACTAATGATTTTAAAAGCCAGTTCCTCCAGTCCTTCGTTTTAGCTATTATGCTTCTCAGTAGAGAACTACCTCTGCCAAAGATTATTCATCAGCTGTTTCTACTAATCATCCACCTATAGATTGATACTTCTGTGGTTCATTTCACAGTCGTGTTCTCTAATAAATTTACATCACATGGTCCCCATTGAGAAAGTTAAACTTTCTGATTTTATATAATTAGTTGAGAACTTATCACTGGCTTATTACAAATAAAACAGATTTGTTCATCTTTCCTCAGATTTCCAATGAACTGTAGAAGTCGCACATCATAAATTTAAACACCTGAAAACAGAGCCCCCTAACGAAGTATCAGATTTGTGCACATCAGCCATTCATCAGCTATTGAAAATGGGTACTTAAAAGTCCTCAAGGTGATCTAAATTTTTCTGTCAGGCTGAAGGCTATGGAGATATTCAGATATTGCTGCATTTCCCTAATGCAAGCATCAAGACAGAAGCTGAGATTGAAGAATTAGGTTAAAATCTGAGGTGGAAGACTTGTTTTCTGTGGACTGCTAATTAGATGATCTTCTGGTGATGATAGTTTCTTTCAGTCTTAGATTGTCAAATTTTGTGTCATCTTTGCAGTTCTCATAAATCCAGAATCATCCATAAGGCAAATGTTCCTGAGCACACAAACAGCCTTTTTAGTTGATTAGAATCTATTTTTTGGGGTATTTTAAGCATCTTCTTATCTGCAGAGCTAAAAGCATGTAAGTCAAAACTGTGTGTTTAGTAGGTACTGGGACTACCTTTTAGCTTGTTGAGCCAAAGATGTATTAACACTTTGTCTACGTTACAGAAGACCCTGTGACCTCATGCCAGAATAGTTTTATTATAATGCTTCCGTGTGTAATTTTTTTCCTTTGTCTAACTCCAAGTTGGCTTGCAATTTGTCAATGAGTTCATTAACTTTTCTTTGCCAAACTTATTAGTTTTTCACATTAAAGTACATTGCTCATTGTAAGAAGCAAAATTAAGAAGTAATTCTACCAAAAAAGAAAAAAGGATTTTTGAAAGTTTTCCAAAAGACACTTTTGCAATGACTTGTCATTAAACTTCAGAGTTTCAGGAACTATGAAGCAGATCAAGCTTGCTATATATATTAAATTTTTTTAAAGGTTTCCAAAGGCTGTTTTCTGAGATAATCATAGAATCATACAATGGCTTGGGTTGGAACAGATCTCAAGGATCAAGTTCTCACCCTGCTGCCACAGGCAGGCTTGCCAGCCACTAGATCAAGTAGGGATCTATCCAACCTGGCCTTAAAACCACCAGGGCAGGGCATCCATAACCTCTCCACACAGCCTGTCTGATGAGCACCTCACCACTCTCAGTAAAAAACTTCCCCCCGACATCTAATCTAAATTTCTCTTCCTTTAGTTTAAAACTATTCCCCCTTGTCCTATCACTATCTACCTGTGTGAAAATTGTTTTCCCCCATGTTTATAAACTCCCTCTAAATACTGAAAGGCCACAATGAGGTCTTCCTGCAGCGTTCAATTTTTTAGGCTGAACAAGCCCAGTTCCTTCAGCCTATCTTCATAGGAGTGGTGCTCCAGCCTTTGGATCATCTTTGTGACCTTCCTTTGGATCCTCTCCAAAAGCTCCATGTCTTTCCTATGCTGGGGGCCCTAGGCTTGGATGCAGTACTCTACATGGGGCTCACAAGGGCAGAATAGAGGGAGACAGTCACCTACCTCATAGAATATCTTATATTATTTTCAAGTCACTGTTTCAGAAGGTAATGCGAATACTTAATGTCAACATAGCAGACTGTTGTAATGCTTGACTTTTAAGAAATGGGAGAACTTAAGAAAAAAAGTATTTCTGAATCATTGAAACAGAATAGAGCTATGATACCCAAAATTGCTGGAGTCAGTCCATGCTCCATCCATCTTATCTTAGGCATTAGACTCAAAATTTCTCCATGTGTGTAAGTATTCTGGAGTTAAAGCAGAATTAAAAAGTTGTATATTCTATTTTGAGGCCGATTCCAAACTAAGGGGAACAATAGTTTCAAGATTCCTTTTCAATTGTCAAATAGCCCGTTCCAAATAATTTAATATGTTCAGACCATCTGTCTGATACCACTGAATTCATTATTTCAAGGATAAAATTTGGAGTATAAAATCTTGTCAAAAATGAGTGTAACAATTTACATTTATGAAGCTTAATTGCATTAAAAATAATGTTTTTCTTTTCTTTAGATGATGAAACAGATCCCATCTTAGCAGCAATTCTGAACGTTCCTTCTGTTCATATTCCAACTGTTCCTCCTTCCATTACATCAGCTTCAGGAAAAAAAGACAAGTCAGTCAAACAAAAATCAGGAAAATCTCTGCCATCTACAAAATCAAGCGGTATGAGAATAAGCTCTTCACCACCAGACAACAATGAAAAACAAGAAGAAAAGGTAAGAAAACGGCCGATTGTTCGCTGAACATAGAAAAGTAACAAAAATTTAAATACCTACACTTAGGTAATAGAAATATATATTCTTCTCAGGATTTTGAGGAGTGTTTCAACAAATTCTTAATAATTTATGGTGCTTCTAAGGATATGCTTTACTTTTTCCAGTTGTATAAAAATCATTTTGGTCATGGTTCGACTCAATGGTCTTTAAGGTCTTTTCTAACTTGAGCAATTCTATGATTCTCAAGTGTAAATATTGGTAGCTGTTAATTAAGGTAGCTTTTAAAGCTTTGTGATGTAGAGCAGTGATCCACATACTTGCATTGATTTTGGTTTTACAGTTACACCTGTTACATTCTCACTGATTAGGGCTGCTCTAGAAATTGGTTTTTATGCAGCAACATAGAATTAAGAACTGTAATGTTTAGAAGGGACATTTAGATCATCTAGTTCAACCCTCCTGCTAAAGCAGGTTCCCTACAGTAGGCCACACAGGAAAGCTTCCTAATGGGTTTTGAATATCTCCAGAGAGAGATTAAACAGATTGCTCTTGTCTGTTCCAGTGATCCATCATTCTCATAGTAAAGAAATTATTCCTTGTGTTGGTACAGAACTTCCATGGTTAAAACTTCTTTATGATTAAACTTTCTATTTTAACCAAATAAGAGAACTTCTCTGTGCTTTCTAAAATCTGTATTGGAAAGTCTTGAGCCAACCAAACTGGAATCATAGAATCATTAGAATCAGAAAAGATCAAGTCCACCTGTCGACCTAACCCTACCTAATCCATCACTAAGCCATGTCCCTAAAAACCATGTCCACAAATCCATTAAATAACTTAAGAAATGGTAACTCCACCACTTTTATGGACTGCCTGTTCTGATGTCTAACCATGAAGAAATTCTTTCTAGCAGGGCACAACATTTCTTTGGAGGTCTGCAAGCAGCCAAGAGATGATAATACTCTAATTAAAACGGCAGGTTGCAAAACACATCCAAATGGCTTTCCTTCCAACCCAGCCCCTGCTCAGATCCTTGTTTTTTAGTCCCTTCACCAGCTTTGTTGGCCCTCTCTGAATGTGGTCCAGCGACTATGTTTCTTGTGTTGAGGGGCCCAAAACTAAACGCAGTATTCAAGATGTGGTCTCACAAGTACCAAATACAGAGGGACAGTATCTTTTCTAGTCCTGCTACCTGCACTATTTCTGATACAAGGCACCTGGGCACACTGCTTGCTCGTGTTCAACTAGCTGTCAACCAACACTATCAGGCTCTTTACTGCTGGACAACTTTCCAGCCTCTCCTCTTCAAGCATATACTGCTTTCTGGAGTTATGACCCAAGTACAGCACTCAGCATTTAGCCAAATTAATGTTATCATTTTTGGAAAAGCTTGCTATACAGTTTGATTTTTTCAACAAACCACAAGCCAGGCTCCAGCAATTTGGAAGCTGCTTTTGCCCATGGCTGAAGGAATTCTACGTTAGGACAGGGCTTTGGAAAGGATGGATGACATTTTAGAAGTAGATTCTGCATTTGTTTTATGGAATGCTTATCACAAAGTATGGCAGAAATTACAGAGCCATGTGCCTCAAAAGTGCTTAGCATTTGATCTTGAAATTCTTCCAGAAAGTTGTATGGGAAAACAATTTTTTGGCATGGAAACGTGGGTGAGGGGGAAATGGGTCACACTGGTCACTTCACCATTTATTTCAAAATCACTCCTGCTATGCCCTCTTCAGCAGTTTATGATATGTATTCTTAGCCCTCTTGGCAAGGGAGGTTGAGTGGAGACTAATTATGTTAACAGAGCTGGGCCGAGTTGTTCAAAGATGCAGAGTAGGCAACATGGAAAGGAGGGGGTTAAATGCAGTATAGATATATTTGAAACAGGAGATAGTTTCCAGTGCACATCAAGTTACAGGGGAGGGCAGTAAGAAAGACAAGAATGAAAAGATACTGAATGTTTTTAGGATATCCTGGAAGGCTCTCTGATATAAAATAGCTATGTTTCTCTGTGGTACCTAGTAAATGATGCTATGCTGTGGCTCTTTCAACTTGGATTCTGCCCATATCCGCAAAAAGCCCTGCTGGCCTAATTTTCTCAAATTTAACTAGATACTTGAAGAGCTCGAGCAAGGGAACTTGCCAGACAGCACTGACAATAGCATATCACAATTATACGGTACATTAAACCCCACACACACTCCCCTAACAATAAAATTCTGTCAAAACCTTTATGTTCCATCTCTTTTTCCAAAAAACTTCTTACTGTTTCATTTAGAATGTCTTCAGTCCATTTTTTTTTTGTATTCTAATAAAAAGTCTGTAAGACAAGCAATGTTCCTTTGCTAGTGCAAACCTAGTTGTGTGAATCTGCAAATATTTTGAGGGACAGCTTTAGAGTCTGAAGTGAACTTGACAAATTCACATAAACAGTGTCTGGAAAACAGTAAAAACATGTACTAGGTTCTGTAATTGCGTATAAATAATCAGTAATCTGTAGAATGTATGACCATTTTATCAATCACAATAATGCAAAAAAAGGTCTGAGAGTTGAAAAGAATGAAAATTTATATACAAGTCAGTAATGCCATCTTGCTGTGAGAAGGGCAAACACCATACTAAGATGACTAAACAAGAGTATAACTTGTTAAGTATGTAAAATTATTCTTCTCATCAGTACTGGTGAAGAAAAATATGGGCCGCATTAAATACATCTGAGGAAAGTACTAAAAACAACCCAAAGTCTTGAAAACTTTACCAGTGAAGAAAGGTTAGAAGACTTGGTTTGGGTTTGTTTGACCCAAAATTGAGAGAGAGAACAGCTTGCAGTAGAGGGACAACAAGATCTCTTACACTAGCCCATATAATCAGAAGAAATCATCAGAAGTAAATTAATTTTTTATCAGAATGGTTCAGGCTGACCAATACGGAAATCTCAGTAAGATTAATAATTGGAATAGATTTGCCTAGGGAAACTAGGAAATGTCAAGCCCTGGAAGTGTTTAGGATAGGTTATACTACCAGTTTTCTCTAATGATATAGTTATACTTTTTCTACCATTGGAAAGGGGGAAGTAGAGGACAAGTGAGGGTTACTTCCATCCTATTCTGTGATGTCTACCCCACAATTGTATGGCTGTGATTTTAGGGTAGTGAGGGTAGCCTTAATGACCCAGTAATATTTTGTAAGGTAACCATAAAATGTCCCTTGTTAAAAAGATGTGGCAAAGCATCTGCCAGTTTTCCCTATTTTCCCCTATATTTCCATCCATATAAATTAAAAATACAGGATAATACAGAGACTAGTGCTCTCTTATCTTCATCTGCAACCCAAAACTGTTTTCATCTTATGATTATTGGTATAGCATAGTTCATTGTCACATACTTTTCTGTGAGGTTGACATCGAAGGATCCATTGTTGTATTTTTCCTGTATTTTCTAGAGCCTTCAGACATTATTTTGGTCATCCTCATCTTTTCTATTCGTACTACGGACTAGTGCAGAGGACTTGACTTTTTGTCTGTCAAGCATTCCTTCCTGTTCTTTTCTCATCTGCTGTACATCCATCAGACTTGATGTAGTGTTACTTCTATCTTATGCACTTTTTTAACTGTTGAAGTTAGAATAGCTGATACAAACTCAGTGCTCTTCTGCTTCATGTTACCTTTTATTTCATCCTGACACTGTACATAAGATTGCTTAACAACTCGGCAAAATACATACAGTCAAGAATGTTTTTTCTTCAAAGGTTAATAAAGATGAATAAAATAAGATAGCATAATCAAAGAAAATAAGCTAATGCTTTCACTTCAGAATCCACACACTTTCAAAATGCTACAAATCAGTGACAGAACGTACATTTTGTTACGTTTTGGTAAAACTGAAATCTAGTCCAATTTTGTCTTAAGTCTTTATAAATGTGGAATAAAACTAAGTAAGGTTTGTTACTTCCTGCAGGTGGAAGTAGAAGAACCAGCTTCCCACACAGAAGTGATGTCAGCTGCTCTTGCTTTCCGAAGCCTCAACGTCTCCTGTCCTAATGGACTAGTATTAACTTTCCTTGGTGAAAGTTTTGAAGGCTAGTTTTTTGAACCACTACAGAATAAGAACCTTTTAAAGAAGTTAAAATTACAGATAAAAACGTTTCTTTGTCTTGAGAGATTTAGATTTAACATCTCAGATTTCTAATTCTGTTATAAAGTCTGTTTAATAGTAATCACAACGTAAGTAACATTTTAATTTGAATACAGTATTAATATTCTGTCAGTTTGGTGCTATTAATTTAGTTTAGCACATTTAGTTTATAAATGTGCTATGATCAATGTGATATAAAGTACAGCAAAAAGGATACAGAGAATTTTCAAACACAATTTGACAAGGAGCATAAGTTCAAATATTGAATGGCTGAGATGAACAGAGCTGTGACATACACATAGATGCAATCTCTTGACACAGTTGCCTATTATACTCAGTAGCACACTCAATACATGTCCGTAATTTGTCCTAAAAACTTTATTTATTGAAGTAGACAGAATATCTATGTTCATTTTCTATTCCATCTCAAACTTGGCGAAACTCAGTAATTTTTTTCCTTTTTAGAGCCAGTTTGGAGATTCTCTATCTAATTTCAGTTTTCTAACAGTTCAGCATCCATACTAAACCAATCTAAAATTTTCCTTTTTTTCATGTGGGAAAGACACATCAATAGGACTATGCAGAGTTTCTGAGTAGATAACTGCTTTGAATTGCTATCCAAGAAACAGAAACTGTCCCTCTCTCTGTGGGTTACAGAAGAAGCCAAGTTGAGTTAGTCTCAGTAGCTTAAGTTGAATATCATATGTAAACAACTCGATACTGGGTGTTTAACACTGTTGGAACATGTGTACTAAGTAATTCAGAATTTGTTTTCAGATTTGGAAGGTGCAGCTGCTACAGTTGAAGCTAAGGAAGATGAGGTTGAGAAAGGTGAGATCAGAACATATAAAGTCAGAGAAGAGGAGGGCGAGAAACAGCGGACTGAAGCGGATGAAGCCAAGGAAGAGGAGGCTGAAAAAGATGAGGCCAAAGCAAACGAGGTGAAGGGGGAGAAGGCTGTGGAAAGCAAAGGGAAGGAACATGAGGTTATAGAAGGTGAAATAAAACAAGACGACACCAAGAGAGAAAATGCCAAGCAACCAGCTTTGAAAATTCTCGTTAGGCAAAGTTATCCCCAGAACGTGAACAACTCTCGTCTATGTGCATCAGTGACAAGTCAAAGAAAACAAGAGGTATCAAGAGTCATCACCAGTCAAGGAACTGTTGTAAGATACATGATGGATGGATCTACCTGGGTATGTTTTGCAGAGTCATTGGAAGCAGCCTGTGTAGTGTTATCATTGAATTTGTGCTTTCTCAGCTGGCATAGATAAGTATATAGTTTGTCAGTGATGGAATTGAGTAACAATGCAGCAGTGTCAAGACTAAAATGCTCCTGGCTTTGTTCAAAATCAGATACCATAACAAGCACAAGGAATTTTAATGGTGAAAACTTTAGGCATGTGAACATTTTAGGCAATTTTGGGATTAGGAAACAGCTTAGTATAGTTTTGAGAACTACATAATATAGTTCTGAGACCTACATGAATCATCTGAAGTGTGTGTTAGTTCTTTCTTATTTTTGGTGACACAAATGCATCCGTATCTTTTTTCATACAAGGTTTAAGAAAAGATACACTTGTCAGTCCTGTAGACACCTTTAGGTATCCTAAATTTTCATCAAAAAGACTGTATTCCTAAGTTCCTTCTTTGTTTATACACAAATTAGGTTGCCCAGAATTTTGGTACCTTTTAGGTAACATAAGTTAGATACCACTTTTGCAGATACTATAATCAGTCAACAACCAATTATCTTTTCTAAGTCTAATACTCTGTGTATTGTAAGCAAATTGATGAAAAGATGTGTGCTTTGACTCAGAAACTGTCAAAATTATTCCTTATTTCCTCTTCTTTTTTTTTAAGCAGTTTGAGTAGGCCACAACTGCTAGTACAACTTTGTTACGTTCATTCGTTACATTAAATCTTAAACCATTTATCCAAGATTTCAGAAAAACATACCAATTTCAGTAGTATGCAAAGAAACTAGCTGCCTTTCATTTGTATATCCTCCAGATGCAGTCTCCTGACTGAAGAATTCAGGGCTCATGTGCCTAGGATGGTCATACCACAGTCTTTGTATGCACAGATTCTAGATGCCTCCTTCTTTGTATTAATTTAACATCTATGAGTTATAGAAGAATGGAAAGCATATAGACAAGCACTCAGGAAGAAAAATAAATGGTTAATTATCTTACAGGAACTGTAGGTCTTGAGATATGACCGTATGTTGTCCATATGTTTTCCACATTGTACGTTTTCTCCGCAGTATATCTGTTTTCTATTTGTAAATGTGTTCAGAGATTAATGAGGTAATTCTGTGCTTAATCTGCCACACAAGGAAACTTGCATATCAAGAGTTAGATATTATGGACAGTAGATCTCAGAAATCAGCTATAGTAAAATAAATAACCATTAATTCTTCTTGTTAGACTTGATGGCTAGAAAAATTAGCAGCAATCCTAGACGTGTGGAATACCTGAATACAGAAAAATACAGTGGCACAGATGCATTACTGCTGTTAGGAAAAGTGGTATTCATCAAAAGATATCAACCTTTGACCACTTAAGCACTCAAAACCTTTGCTTTTATGCATGCCTGCCTGTTACTGAATAGAATTCCCGTTGATTAGATATGTGAACTGAACTAATTAGCAGTCCTTTCTTTTTTTTAATATAGTTTCTTTATTTTTTGCATTTATTCTGTGAGCCTTACATTTCTTCCTTCATCGCATGCTAAATTCTAGTGACTATTGTGTTTGTGACATATTGAGACTTCTTATTAGTGTTTGAAATTATTTTAGTCTCTAATGTGTCTTTGATTTCTGTAGATTCTGTTTGCTGATGGCACAGTGAGTAGAAGTCCTGATTCTGGCCCTGTCCTACCACCACCTGTAATTCCAGAAAACATGCAACCATTATCAGAACCAGAACCTTTAGCTGAGATGAGCACTAGGAGAGGTAACGTTTCCAGTGTTTTGGATTGATTTAATGTGAGCAGGGCTGATGATATTCAGTAAAGGGCATTTTTCTTTGGTCTAAAAATTGTGCTGGTGTAAAATGCAATTTATCTGTACTCAGCTGCTATACACTGCTTATTTGTTATCTTCATAGCAGATAATTTCTCTCCTACTCCAGCTTTCTTATAGCACTTAAGAGCTCTAATAATAAAAGGGTATGTAAGAACTACATATCTAGCAGAGTGATTTAGTAACAGTCTTTTCAGATAAAGCCTTGTAACTCCAGGAACATCAAATCTTTACTTTCACGTTACACAGTTTTTAATTGTTATATTGAGATACGTCCCATTTACAGTGGACTTGCTGTATTTTTCTTTCTCACTGTATCTATTCCAGGACACTTGCTTTATTCATTATTTGATTGTATAAGCTTGTGGTCTGTCCAAGTATTCTCATGTTATTCCATTTCAAAGAGAAGGAGGCAAATATGTGTTTGCTTCATACCTCACAGTGTGGTCCTATATGACTCTCAGTGCTAAGTAGTGCAAAGAATGATTAGGACTTGCCATAACATTACCTTATAATTTATTGGAAGTATGTGAATAAAAATTGCTGCTAAAGAGAAGTCTGTAAAAAGAAATTTTCTGAATCTTCAAGTCCAGTTCTCTGTTCTTAGGATATTCCTTAGGAAATCTAGAATCATGTTTAAGAACTGACAAACTATCTTCTAATTTTCAGTCTCCATATCTGTGACCAGTGTATATCTTTTATTCCTTATCATTTATAATGAATTCCCTCTCCTGCCCTCCACCTTTCCTCTCTGCTACTTAGTCTTGACAAATTTGTGGTGAATATTTACACTTTGTTTTGTTTTGTTTCTTTTTTTTTTCCCTAGGACTTATAAACTGTAAACTTTTAGACTCCTACCCAGGCCATGCTATTGTCTTTTACCCACACTTAGTCTAGTTCTCTTTCTTAATGTGAGTGATCAGATTCTCTGTTGTATTCTTGATAAGATCTCTTCATTGCCTTTCACAGTCTAATCTGCATCTCTTTACTTGTGGTGAACCTTAGGTTTGTATTTGCCTTTTTGTCACTGTACTTTGATGCTGACAATTGTAGTCATTCTACATGGATGCTATATCCAGATCTTTATCTCATTCTACTGTTTCAAATGTGTCTGAACCAGAAATCATTTGTCTTAATCCTTTTTGCTGTAACTTATTTCTGTTGGGCTTTATCGATTCCTAGTACTTTAGTCCTCAAGCTAGTGGGACAGTTTGGGATGTTTTTTTTTTCCTTTAAGCCATTCAGATTCTCTTCTATATTCATGGTACGTTCCAAAGCCATGTCATAATTGAATATCATAGCATCCTGTTTACTTTTCTTGTGTTGTTAATAAACATATTAAACAAGATTGGATCAAGTGAACAATTTTGAATAATAGGTCTTGTTATTTCCCTCTAGCCTGAGACTGTGATTCGATAATAAATTATTCTTTCAATTCTGTCAAAGCCAATACTCACAGAAACTCTTTAGTTGATTGATTTTGTCTTTTCCCTTAGACAATACCAAGTCTTACACAGAATTTTTTGTTTCTGCAGGAAAAGGCAGTGACAAAAACATCGTATTGCACCCAAAGAAGGAGGAAATATTTGAAGACGTTACTCAGGGTCTGGTCAATCCTGAGCAACCTAAGGAGAATCAAGCAGGAACCTGGATAACAACAACCCCATTAGGCATTCGAGTGGGAACTGAAGGAGGAAGGCAAATGGATCTGGAGCCAATCTTATTCTATCAGGCAACTGACCCAGCTGATGGAACAGTAATACTATTTTTGTGTTGTTATACCACTGTCTACTAAGCTATGTGACAGGGCTGCCGTCATCTGTTGCAGAAAACATTTTCAAAACATCCCACAGACTTTGTAATTACATCATTACTAATATAAAAGCTGTAGATGTTGAAGAAAATGTAAATCCTTGGTCTCTGAGCTGGATAAAGTTGGAGCAGACCAGCTTCTTCAGAGTTTCAGTACATAATGCATAATGCTTTGCGTTACCGTTGTTGCTGTTACAGGTATCTCAATGCTAATGTAAATCCATGTTCCCTTATTATTTCAGGTTATGACTGTACGAGATGATGAAGTGATAATTGTTGAGAAGCTGGATGGCAGCAGAGTAGTAGATCATGCAGATGGTACTAGAATCACAACTTTTTACCAAGACTGTGAAGAACATCCTGTAGCTCAGGATAGCAAGAAAACAGGTATAAACAAAAGGGGAATATTTATCTTTGTTTTATCTCATGATAGGGATAACTGTCAAAATGTACTTTTAAAAGGCTTTTGCTCATTCTAATCAAGAAGGCTCATGCCTTGTGTAGGGAAAGTTATTTAGTGAACAAGAAATGTCAGTGGACAAATTAATATACCTATTCAATTTGTTCTTTATGACTTGTGCTGCTGAATAAGAATTTCTTCATATCTTAGAGCGTGTATCACAGGCAGAATACATTTCAGTGATCCAGTTTGTATGTTACAAATATCCAAATCATTATGGTTAGGATTATACTTGATAAATTAAGTATGGCCATCGTCAGATAATTTTTTCTATATTCAGTGCTCCGTCCAAAAATTTTAAGGTTGCACAGTGTCTGCATAACAAAATTAGATGATAAAGGATAGTATGAAAAAAATGTAAGGACCTTTTACTGAGAAGATAAAGGTCAGAGGAAAGAAATACAAGCTGAATTCTAGGACTTTTCTGTGATTCATTTACTCAGGTCCAGTTTTTTTTCTGTATTAATTTCTAGATGAACTCTCAAAAACCATCACAAGGAAAGTAAAATGGATTCGAGTAGAAAACCCCAAATTTGCTACTGTTACAACAAATTGTGAGGATGGTACCTGCTGTACCATTTTTGGAGATGGGACATCCATTATAGCAAAGCCATGGGGAACATTTCAGGTAGGAGTTACTTTTAGTTTGTGACAGATATATTTATGTCTCTGTCCCAATTACCTGTCATCAGTTTCATCTTGACTGTTTTAATTCCCCCCTCTATAAATTTCATGAATCCTGTGATTCTCTCAACTTTATACTCTGCCAATGTTTAAGTAATTCTTCACAATTGTATAGTAAATTTAATTCACAAGCTCAAGTTTTCTTGAAGTCAAAATTCTACAGATATAAATATTAGCTTGCTTCCTGGACCTCATCTTCCTTCCTTCTCTCCATCCATTCCATTAAAGCATTCCCAATTTTTACTGCAATAGGTTCTACCCGTCAAGACAGGCTCCCTTTTCATTGATGAGGATTGCTCAGCAGTTTATACCCATGAAGTCTGCAATTTCACCACCAGGAAGGAAGGGACACAAGCAGGAAGATATATTATGAAACATACTTCCAGCACTATTTGTGAGATGCTGGATCCTGAAGGAAATCTTTTCAAGGTAAAGTACATGGAGATAAACAAGTTCATGCATTCTAAGTAATTTTATCTCATGAACAACTCTCAAAGCCTTCTTATAGCCTTGTGGCACTCACAGTAGCCTACCTAGCCAGAAGGCATAGATCCTGAATCAGAACTCTGAAGTGTTACTGAGAAAACGTGACTGGTCTCAGGTTTAACTTTTGTGGTATTTCCCTCTTCTTAGAGAGGTTGAAGTGAAACACAAGATCTACAGTTTACCTCACCTGTAAAGTTACCTTAGTTACTGTGACTTGTATTATAGCAAAAAAATCAGCTCTGCAAATGTGGACAGAAAACGAGAGAGGATACTGGCTTTTCAGAAGGACTTTAGAAAAACTGTAATCTACCTAGTAAAATATTGTTGTAAAATTCGGTCTTAGAAGCCATACTGTTAGTGCTTTGATCTTTCCACACCTACACCTAAGGCATGTTTTTGAGCTAGGTTAGTACTTTGCTATGAGTTCGGGAAATAGATAGTTTAAGTGTCTGTTACATACATGTTATTTTCTAAATGTGATATCCAATTATAATCCTCCCAATTTTTCCAGATTGTATTTATTTATTTATCATCATGTGCTCTGATAAATATGATAGAATATACAGTAATGAGGATATCGAGTAGTTTCAATGTTCTCAAACATACAGTTTGGCACTGGACATATGCAGTATGATGCAGATGGATAAATTGTGCTTATAAAAATATATTTTATCTGTCAATCTCTCCTTAATAAATTTTGAATAATCAGTGGAGGGGTAGAAATTTAAAAGGTATCAATTTCCTACAAAATCAGTGTTATTCAAATTATCGTTGATTGGCATCAGCATCAGAACATCCACCTTTTTCCCAGCTGATACATAGAGAACAAAAGACAAGAGTTGAAGAAGCTGTGGGGCAGCTGAAGGTATTATGAAAGCAGTGATCACAGGCAACGTGGGGTGTACTGAGAAGGGTGAGATGCAATACGAGAAGACACAGACATGGAAAATATTCAAAGAGTAAACAAGTTTCATTGGTTTTGACATTAATGAAGTATATTTCAATTACATTATCCCACACTATTTTACTCTCAAGACCCCATTTTCATTGGTGTGAGGATAAGAGGAGTGTTCAAGTGATGGAGCTGGTGTATGCAGTACCAGTATCACCTTATGAATCTATGTTTAATAGGAAGCATCCAGCTTTAGAGTCCTGCCCAGCGTGTATTTTTTGTATGAAGTTGCCTATTGATGCATGCAGATATATATATATTGCAAACATAATGTAATCATAGATGACCTCATTTGACAACTCACAATCTCAAAGCATGTCAGCATGTAGTATTAGCATTTCTGATATGTCATGTTTTCCTAGAAATGTTTTCACTTTTTTCACTGTATTTTCAGATTTCTTCATTTCTTTTTCTCGTCAATTTCAGGTTGCTCAACATGAAATATGGTTTTATTTTTGGTCACTGAGCTAGATTATACTCACAGTCCAGCAGCAAGTTACTGTTTTAAATACATCATGCATCTCAAATCATTTTGCATGATTTCTGTTGTAGGTCATGGCTGATGGCAGCACATCTGTGTTAGTTCAAAGCATTGGCTTTGACAGCAAGGAGAACAAAAGTTCAGCATCCGTAGTCCCAGAAGTTAACAAATCCATCTCTTGTGATGAACATGTCCCCAGGTAAACTTCCCTACCTTGATAAGTTTACACTTTTTTTCTTTGCTACTCTGTGTTTGTACAGGGTTTGTAGACTTGCACTTTCTTTGTTCATTACTGTGTATTTCTGCACTTGATGTCAGTGTCCTGAAATTCTGTTCTCTTATTTTGTCATCACAGAGCTTTCTTATTTTCTCCATCTGGAAAAGAACACAATTCAGAAGTCTTGGATTTGATGAGGGTGGTGGGTTGGCACTTGTCAGCTGCCAGACCCACTCAGCCTCTCTGTCACTTCCCCTCCTTGATGAGGCAAGTGGAGAAAATAAGATGGAAAAGCTTGTGGGTTGAGATAAAGACAGAAATCACATACCAATTACTGTAGTGGGCAAAACAGACTCAAGCAAAAGTAATGTAATTATTGCCAAGATTTGAATAGTGAGAAAGAAGGACACACAAAAAAACTCTCCCCAACGCCTTCTTTTCTGCAGGCTCAACATGACTACTCTACTTCTTCTCCCTGTCACCTCCTTAGCTGTACAGGGGGTGAGGAACAGAGGTTGTGGTTGTGGTCCCTCACAATTCCTCTCTGCCTCTCCTTCCTTCTCACAGTTTTCCCCTTTTCCAGCATGTTCCTTCTCCACATGCTACAGTCCAAGGCCACAGTGCCTTAAGGATATATGGTAGACCTTCAAGATCATCAAGTCAACCTCACCTACACTAAACCATGTCCTGTTGTGCCAGGTCCCTATGTCTTTTATATCTCCAGAGTTGGGCACTCTATCACTTCCCTGGGCAACCCATTCCACTTTGTGCTTGACCACTCTCTCCATGAAAAAAATTCTTCATAATAACCAAATAGAACATCCCCTGGCACAAGCTGAGATTTCCTATTACTTGTTCCCCAAGAAAATAGTTTGACACACTCTTCACTGCAACCTCTTTGCAGGGTTGTTGGAAAGATTGGCAAAGTCTTGTCTCAGTCTCCTTCAGACTAAATAACCCCATTTCCTTCAGCATTTCCCCATAACTCTTGTTTTCTACTCCCTTCACCAGTTTTGTTGCTCTTCTTTGCACATGTGTAAGCAATTCAACATTCTTCTTGTATTGAGGGGCCCAGTGCTGAACAGAGTATTCCAGATGCAGGCTCACCTCCTGATGCAATGCTGAGTACAGGGGCACAATCATGTCCCTGATCTTTCTGGCACAGTATTACTGATGCAGACCAGGATGCTGTTGGCCTTCTTGGCCATCTGCTGGCCGCCTGACAACCAGCAACCTGAGCTCCTTTTTCTACTGATGAGCTTTCCAGCCAATGTTCCCCAAGCCTATACCAATGCATCAGGTTGCTGTGACAGAAATGAAGGACCTGGCATGTAGCCATGTTCAATGGCATGTGATTGGACCCAGCCTATCCAGATTCCTTTGCAGAGCTGTCCTACCCTTAAGCTAATCAACTGGCCCACCTAGGTTGGTATCACGGGCTGCTCTGGCACCTGGAGCACCTTATCCTCCTCTGTCTTTTGTGTCTGCAAGATTGTTTCTCATACTGTCTTTCTCACCCCTCACTGCCTGTGCAGCATTTTACCCTGTCTTAAATATGCTTTCCCAGAAATGTTCCCCCAGCTTGGGCTCAGTTGTGTGGCTGGGGATGGTGCAGCCAGCTGGAGCCACCTGTGTCTGGCACAGAGCTGCTCTCTGAGCAGCCTTCCCTGTTGTCAATACCTTGCCTCCTATACACAACACAATCAGAGTTCTGTGGCACTCCAGGTTCTTCATCATCCATATGGACGGTTCAGGAACCGAACTCCTGCGGAGCAAGGATGTGGAAGAGTATCTTGCTGAGGTCTGTGGTGATCCAACTGTTGCAGTCTTGCAGGAACCTGTACAAGGATATCCAGGTAGGAAGATTTAGTTCATTTTCTGACAAACTAGTGACAAAAATAATCAAAAGTAGAGTCAGAAGTTTCAAAGCTCATTTGGATGGGAAATATGAAAATGTTTTCCCTGTGTGGGCAATTGTCCACTGTCCTGGCACTGAAGGAAATGGAAGAGAGCTTGTGCAAAAGCTTGGAGAAACAGAGAATTAACTGAACGATGCTTTGAAAGGATAAGTAAGTGAACAAACAACTGGCATATCTTTATTCGCTCTCACACTTACAAACAAAAGCATTTGCCAGATGCATAAATCCTCTGTGTATCTCTATCAAAAACACTGAATATCTTGCAGTCTTCATATAGTAATATAGCTGTCTTTATCAGTGAAGACAAACATAATCTGTTGTCCCTTAGTCTGGCTGTAGGAAGAGTAAATGTACATTACTAAAAATCTGGAAAAAGAGGACTGAAATGGGGGATGCCAGTAGTACCTGGCAACAGCCACCTCATTACACCGATGCAATAAGTTACATCCTGAAACGGTTATTATTGTGAAGTTAGTTGGAAATAGTGTTTCTGTAAATATATGGTGGCCTAACAAGATAGATGTAAAGCCTAGACATGGTAGATCTAATGAAATAAATGTATCTTGAAAATGACAGAAACGAATGTAGAGAAATTATAACAATGATTAGTTCCCTTCTGTTCCCCTCTATATAAACTGAAAGGAATGATTTTGTCAAGGGAATAGAGGAAAAGTGCTAAGGGAGCCAAAAAGATAAGGGAAGTGGAAATCTCTGGAAGATGAAGAAGATAAGCACCTGGTGGAAATCCCATTCAAGAAAACCTATCAAGATTTACCTTGATAATAAGATGTTACAATTCTGTATTATTGTGACAGAACATCTCAGTGGAAGTATCAGTTTTGAAGGCCACCTTTTGGATAGAGATAATAGTAGATTAAGTAGACTTTGGATCTGGGTAAGAAAAAAACATTCTGAAACACTTTAAAATTAATTGCAACAATAAAAAGAAATAATAAATAATTTCCGATAGAATCATTCTGGTGATCAGGCTGTGATGTATGAAACACACTGAGGAACTGTTTGTATGAATCTAATGTATATCTTCTGAAATTAGTGTTCAATACACACAAGTCAGTGGTCTTTCTTCCTTTCTTCCACACAATATACAAACAAACTGCTTCCTAAAAGAAGTGGCCAGTTGTTAAACGTAGGCTGAGTAATCCGGAGCTGTCTAGCTATTGTATCATCACCTCTGTGATCCAATATTATCTATAGCCTTGGGTATCACATTTTCACCTGGAGTTTTACATCCGATCATAAGCTTCATTATACTTATATTTTTCTGGAAAGTATACTTTTTTGGATGTCTGAGACCCTTGCCCATTGTTTTTGGATTCAAACTGATTCTTACCAAAATACACTTTCAAACCAGGTGCTGTAAGTATTACCATCCTCTTCCCCTTGTCTGAAGCCTCTCCCTGGGTGATGAAGAAAGAACCAGAGAGTATTGTTCCTCCGAATCTTTGGCCAAAAACTTGGAATGCATTTTCTCCTTATGAGGTATGATTGTTTTGAAACTGTCTTTTACTGCTTAAGCAGTACCATGTTTGTCACAGAGGTTATTGGAACTCCAAACAATGTGACAGTTAAGTAAGGAATTAAATTTATTTTATTAAGCAAACAAAGCAAGGAGTGGGATGTATCAGGAAAAAATCTAGTCAACTTGGGCTTCTTTTATGCTTGGTGAGGTGATTGCAACAGTTTTAGGGATAGTTTTTTTTTGCCAGATGAAGAGATTGTAGGATGTGTAAATTATGCCCGAGGATGTACTAACATGATTTACTGGATCTCCAATGCTATAAGCACAGCATGTGCTTTTCAGCTGAAACATGAATTATTGATATCTATAGTTACCCAGTGATATAAATAGCCTCTTGCTTTTTTTGCTTGCTCTTGCCTATGCTCAGAAGGAGACCACAGTCAGGGCACACACTTGGAAGGGTCTCTGCATTGGATCCAAAGAGGAGACATGCTTACCAGTACCTATGCGAAAATGTCCAAAAAAACTGCAAATCCGTCAGCTGTTCCACTATGAACCACTCAGTGATGAACTAAGAACAAAGCTACAGCTTTCTCTCAAGGTAGTACAATCATATTCGCTTCATTCTTCCAGTGAGTTAGAGAACAGACAAAATGGGTAACATGGATTCATATATCTCTGAGACAAGAACCATAATACTTTTGAAGAACAAACCATTTCATATGTAGGCAGGTGCCCTAAGAAAAACATGATTTTGAAGCTGCTTGTCTCTCTTCTCCTATACCTTTTGGAACCTACTTTTTTGAGCAGATACATGGGGACCAGTCCAGTACACATCATAGACTGTATACTAGCAAATCAATGCTGAGAGAAAGGGAAATATATGTTACTTTTTTCTTTGCTTAGGGTTTATTTTCCTGATCAAAACCTTGAAAAGATCTATAATGTTACAAAATAATTTTGAATCCACTATAAATCTACAGTTAGCTTAGTGATGAAGTCACTGGGACAGTCTTCATTACTGATTAGTTTTTATAGGTCTTTATAGTTATATAAGTTTTATTTAACCTATTTAACCTAACTTTATAGTTAGTATAGGTTTTATTAGTTATAGGTCAGCATAGAACATTTCTAGGTTGAAGCCTGAGTTCTGTCGCTTGGTTCACGTCTAGCAAATAGCTGTGTAGCCTTCTGCAAAAGTATCTGTCCATCACTCGTTACTGCCTGGTTCATAAAAAAGAACAAGTTGCAGCTCCTGTTAAAGCATTCTGAGATAGGATCTGAAAGTCCTGCTATTCATCCTTATTAGCACTTCTCTTTTTAGTTTTTGTATAAAACACTGATTTATTTGATTCATACTGTCAAGATGCTCTTAAAACAAATTTTATAGTTAAAAACATTATTATTTACCAGTCAGGGAATAACAAAATACACGTGTTCTGTAATTACATTGCTAAACATTCTGATGGTGGCGTTGCAGACTGAATTTCAAAATTAATGGCATATAGAATCTGTGATGGTGGAAGCAAACTGTAGCTGGTTAGACTTTTTTTTTTCCACCTTACATTTCAAGAAAGGCATGTTTGCAATAGAAAAACATTAACAGCTGTTCAACTTTGGCATAGTTTGAGACACACTAATCCATCAGAACTAAATTTTACTCTTCTACATTCTATAAATGTAGGTTGGTCTGAAAGTAATGCCTCTTATTATTTCCATGGAAACTACAACAGATACAAAGAGTACAATAACACTATTTGATAGTGCAAATTCTCATCTACAAAACAGTACAACTTAGTCATCACCATTAGCTGTATATTTTTGCCAGCAATAAACAAGAACCTGCATGCCATGTTCAAAAAAATCTGCACCAGCAGAGGTGGCCCACTGTTTCACAGCTGCTATGATGATGCTGTTGTTAGGAAAATGTTGCCATCACAGTAAATCTTTCATTAGCCCAAACAGATGAAAGTCAGAAGGCACCAATCCAAACTACATGATGGCTGTGGTAGGACTGTACAGACAAGATTGGCAATGTGCTCCACAATCTTCAGACTGGTTTGGGGCCTGGCACTATTGTGTTGCAAGTGAAAGGCTGTTGTCTTCTCTAACCTGACTCTGAAAATTTGATCTTTCAGCTTAGTCAGCATCAGAATGTAACAGTCAGAGTTGATGGTTTGTCTGATATTCCAATGTTGCGACCTATTCCAGTCATTTCCAGTGCATTGAAGCCAATATTCAGCTCCATACACAGTTGCCTGGTTGTAATCCACTCATTTGTGTGTATGAGCTGATCAAGGCGCTCCTAATTTTGTGGTGTGACAAATGTGCATGGCCATTTGGAACATGGATTGTGTTTCTCATCATTGTCACCACTGCTAACTGCACCACCCACCACCTCACTGTGCTCACATCCTTTGGTTGGTCTTCATAAACATTCAGCAAGTGTTGTTAAATGTCAACGGGAGCAATTTTTTTCCACATGGAGGAATTCAGTAACATACCTTTACTTCATCTGCACTTCCATGTCAGATGCTATTTTGTCAAACTGCCATCTGTCACATGGTAACAAAATTTAAAAGAAAATTGGTGGAAGGTTCAACCTCTACTACCATACCATTGCTTTCAGAGCAGCCCTCATATATCAAACTTATTCTTTAATTTACATATTGAGTTTTCAAAGGCAACAGTCTTAAAAATAATAATAATAGTAAATGTTCCACACCAAAATCCCAAATTACATCACTCCATTGACCAGATCTCTTCTGGATTTTAGAGGAAGAAGAACACTGTTATGCTGGGAAGGAAGAATTGTAATTATTGGCACTGAGGAAACATTTGTAAATAACTGCATTAATGTACAGTGAAAAAACCCTCATTGCTCATATATCAATGTCAAATTAATGGATTTTTCCAGAAACAGATATCTTAAATCTTTAGCCAAATGCTCATTTTTGCAGAACTAAATCAGTATCTAAAGAAAAAGAACTGGAACTAGAAGCAGATTATTTCTGCCAACCTTCTCCATGCATAAAGTTCAATGTTGCATGTAACTTTCTAGCAGGGTGATGTGTTAGGGCAGCTGTCTGCAAAAGACCCTTCTTTTCCATCCAGTTGATCACCTAATGGATAAAGAAGTGTGTAAAAAGAGCATGCCCTTTTCTTTAGCACTCAGTGTGATTTTGAGAAAGTATGCTTATGTATAAAAGCAGAGCTTCAGACACTTTGTAAGCCTAATTTTTCAACTATGATACTCTAAATTTCCATTTCCCTAACAGGGATCAAATGGAAAGAAGATAGAGATCACAACCAGTGTTTGTTTGATCCCCTTTATTCATTAACGTGATCTTAGTAATGTAATCAAATCATTGTTATTAATAACAGATAGCTATTGATTAAACACATTCCTTTATTCACTCCTGTAGTTCAATCAGATGCTTGCACGCTCACTCATTCTTGCCTGGCTGGTGTGACAGCTGGGAGGCCAGCCCTTACTTCACCGTGAGAAGCACAGGATCATACAGGCACACACCAAGGGATTCTAAGTAGCTGATTGCCACCCTGTTGGGTGTAGTCCAAGTCATACAGCTCACTGTGGGTGTGAATGTGTGCAAGTGGCCTGGTGCAAATTAAGCAGATGCTTTGTGTCCTCAGTTTGTCACTTCTTGCATATTCAACAGTATTGCTAGTCATCAGAGTTGATTAGACCCTGGCAAGCTTTCACTCGTTCTCTGCATGTATTCCTCTTCTTCAGCTTTTTATAACTATTTCCCCCTGCAAACCTGTAGATATGGAGTCACACATTCTCACAGAAGTGCTCTTTATGACACTGCAAAGTATACTTATACCCATTACTTCTACAAACTTTTTTCTTTATGTGTCCATTAAGTCTACTTCTGCAAAGCATACTTTCTTGTTCTTTTTCTATTGTCCCCACAAGAAATACATAGAAAACGTTTTAAAGCAGGAAGATGAGCTGGAAGAGATGAATTTAAAAGAACCAAGAACAGAAGAGGAAAAAGAGAATGCTGCAAATCTCCTTGATCTGATTAAGGTGAGAAAGAACTACTTTTTTTCCAACAAATATATTGTATTGCATTGCAAGTGCCACACTTGAAACTCTGTTATAGTGTATGTTTGGATAGCACAGTGCTTCCTTCACTGTAATTTAGTGGTAAAGTAAAGCCACGCTGAGCGTTTAGCTGGATTACTGAATGTCACTACTGCCATCTGGGGAAGGACTGCTGAAAACAGCTTAAGAATTTGGATTCTTCAGAACGATATGTTCCCAAACACACAGGCCAAAAAACACTGAAGTGCTTGTGTTCCCCAGCATTAGGATGAGAATGTTTCTAGGCTGCAGCTGGGAGACTTGTCTTTCAGTCAGTACCACCTTCACGTCAAGAGTTTAAACCCTCTTGTCAAGGTAATCTAGAAACAATCTGGAGGAATATTGTTATTGCTTGTCTCTGCTTATATTTTTGTAAAATACGTTCCGTTAATTTGCACGGCTGATTAGACTATGAGGAAAAAATGGGAGGGGAACAGGGAAGGTGCTGAAAAGGTGAAGAGAGGCTTGGAGTTAGGGGCCAGGAAACTGAGGTCAGTGGGAGATGAGTGGTGACAAACTGAAGTTCAAGCAGCAGAAGTGGGCGGGCATTAGGATGAATGAGAGACACAGTTTGCATCTTAGTTAAAAATCATCACATCTTACACAGCGCATTCAGTTTGCTGTCTTTCAGTTCTTCAAGTCATGTTTTCTTCAGTGTTTTTTTAAATTTGGTACCTGGCATCAAGTTAATTAATGTGCGAGACTTTTAGGTTATTAAACACTGCTTTCCTTTTTATTTCCACTTAGTCAAAAAACAAGCATCTAGCAAATTTAAACAATACTGACTTCAAAAACCTGATGTTTGAATTAGCCACATTAGTGTAAATATTCACTACCAGATCATCGATCCATTTTTCAGAAGTGTGAGAGTATTCTAGAAAATGAACATCATCTTGGGCTTAGAGTCTACATTTTAAAAACTTGTTTCAATGTGCAAAATCAGTAGACATTAAATCTTTCCAGTGTTAAATGCTGCTGCTGTCTTTCTCTTGCCTCTCTGGATTTTATTCTTCCTTACAAGCCTTAAAAATAAAATGTAATCATGTAATTCTAGAATTCACCCCTGAACCTTTTAGTCAAAGTGACCTTTTTGATTTGCTGATATTACAACTTCCACATGCATTTTTCTCAACACTTTTCATGTGATGTGCACTTTTTAAATGACAGCAGAGAAAAGATACCTTAAAAAAAAAAAAAAAAAGCATGAGGTAGGAGGGAACTCACAATCTTTCTGGAAAGGTTGGTATTGAGAAATGATCTCTCGATAATCTCCCTGTATCCTTTATGTGCTTTGATGAGAGCCAGGTGCTGAATCTCACATGCTACTCAGTTCCAATGGATTTTTCTCCTGACTCATCATTGCTGATTGCCCTGGCTACCAGAGCACATTTGCAGGTACAGATTTCACATTGGAAAACTGTTTTCTGAGACGTAGAGTCCCACTGTGGATCTTCTGTGTTATATTCCTCCGAGGTCTCCAGTGTTCCCTAGTTCTGTTAAAACGTAGACTGTCTGATGACAAGAACTTTCCAGTTAACTGCTTCAGGGACAGCATGAAAATGAAGGAAATGGCTTTAGTAAAAGAGTCTGTCACTGCTCAAACGCTTACTGAGGAGCTCTCTCATGCTTCCTCTACAGCTCACAAAGCCTGCAATTTCCTGAACCTATTTCCTATTTGATCCTTTTTGCCTGTGACTTTGAGGTATGATTTGAATATGAACTGGCTTAGTTGATGTAATAAAGAGCAACTCTGTAAAATAGGAAGCTAGCCGTGACGTAGATCATCAAGAAGGAAACCTATATTTTTAGGCCAGGAAAATTGTGCCTCATTTCTTTTTCTTCCAGCTCATGTTTTCTAACACACTGACATACCTCCATTCCAGTAGTCATGTTGTCAGGTAACAGATAACATTTGTTTAGGATAGAAATCCTTTAAAGAGGATATGATTGTTAGATCTGTTTCTCACATAGTCACAGTTACTCTTTCTTCATTACAGTTCTTCCCTAACTGGAAGAAATCATCTGAAGATCTCAGTGCCAAAGGTAATAAAAATTGAATACCTATCTTAATAATCCCCTTAATAATCCATAGCCCTTTTCCATAGAAAAATATACAGTGTTCAATCTCATAGTGACACTATTCTTCAAAATGTTATTCTTCTTCCCCTCTTGCCTTGCCAAGGGTTTTTCTGCTTGTTAAAAAGAGACCAAAACACAATATGTAATGGAAATGAGAATTTCTGCAACAAAGGCTTACTACAGTTTTCTGATTTAAAAACAAACAAATAAACAAAAAGCCACATAATTAAAATGCACTTGTAATGTACTGTTATTAACAAGGAAGATATTGTGAAAGAGGCTCATTAAAAGAGGCCAAATAGAAAAGAAAAAGAAAAAACAGGAAAATACAAAAATATGTTTTATTGTGAAAGAAATGCCAAATAGGTTCATATTTCTCAGTACTCGTGTATCTTAAGTTTAACCACAGAAATTTCTTTTGAACAAAGGAATTTTATTTGAACTCATCACAGTCTAGATTCAATGCTTGGAAGAAGCAACACAGTTTATAAAAGATGTCTGTAGATAGGGAAACTCTTTATAAAAGCCCTCAAATTTGTCGCAATCTTACAGGCTGGCTTTTCTCCATCGAATATATTGAACTAATAGTTCAATAACCTGATACTGTTGATTGTGGCTATGAAGCAGCAGCAATTAAAGTACAACCTAAGTAGGCTGAAAGTAATAAAGGTACCTAAAAGCCCACATTATTTTCCTCACCTGGAGACAGAGTTGCTCACTAGTTAGAAAGTGACTGAATGTCAGCAACTTTTCCTGCTCACAGCTATTTGATTTGTATCTTGAACACAAATACAGGAAATACAGAGTGGGGGTATGAACTTAATCTGCTCCCGATTTGGGTTTTTTTTGTTTGTTTTCTATTGATTGAATTAATTTCTTATCAGCTAATGTTCTGAACTTGATGTTGGAAATGAAGTTCTTTATGCCTCTTTCCTCACAGTAGTAAAGAATCTGTAATTGGCCTGTCTCATATTAATGTTTATTGTCTGTAAAAAAAAAAAAGTGGAAGAACCCAGTTTTCTCTTCAGCTGGCTCTGGAATATGTTCCTGTCAATTAATCTTTAGTATGATTAAAAGTGATTCATAAGAACTAATTTTATCTTCACTGCTTTTAACCGTAGCTTTTCATCAAGTATAAGAAAGATGCATTAAAACATATCCTTTCAAGTTTGTTAGTCATAACGCTTACAAGCGCGTAGCAGGACATGTGCATTCAGTACTGCTCTTTACATTGCAGCTCACATAACTGAGCTGTATGAACATGCAGTGGCTTCTCAACGCCTGCTTCACACCAAGAAAAGAGTCACGGAGCAAACAGCAGACCAGCAGCAGAGCTTCAGGTAGGACATACCTGTGAGAACTGATGTAAATGTAGGTAACGCAAAAGTGGGAACTAAGCACACAGGAATGGCATTGTCCTGGCTGCTGCAAAGAGCCAAGACTTAGATCTCTGGGTACATATCCCAGTGTTTTACTAGTTGTTATTTTGTCCCTCTGTGCCTCTCCTCATCTGAAAGATTCTCAAACGTCTGTTGGAAAAGGTTTTTTAGGAATATTTTGGTTGAATTGAACAATAAAAATGAAGATATGTGTGAACAATTTTCCAAATGTTACAAATCCAAGTCAGGAGTCACTAGCAATGTTAATGTTTTGGACTTGCATAAAGAACATTTTCTTTCCAGGGCTGTCTTGCAAGTTGTTTTGTGCTTATAAAACACTTATGCTAGTTTTCTTTTTCATTACCTTTTTCTTTCATAATTATTCAGCACAGAAGAACAAACTCCAGTGTCCAAATGGCAGAGCAAACTACAAGAGCACAGGTAATAGTATTAGTAGGGCAGAAATTTACTTATTTTAAAAGCCAACTGAAGTCTGCATTTGGACAGACTTACTGCTTTCATGAGGTCTTGAGTGCTGTGGTCTGCTAGCAAATAAAGGAGTGTTCTCTGCAAATTCAGCAAATCTGAATGGATGGTTTGCCTTTCATTTTGTCAAAACCTGATAGCGTTTCTGTTAACTTAGCATAATTAAAACAAGGGCTGAAGTCAGAAATCCTGTATTCTGTCATCTGGTTCTGCCACCAGTGTGAAAAATAATATATATTAATATTTTCAGATGCTAATGCTTTAGGTTAAGATTCTGGCTTTTTTGTAAATCCTGGCTGATTTTTCTAGTAGAACCCCAGATATACCTGTGGTGCTGCTTCAAAGCTTCTCAAGGCTGAACAGTCTCTTCCTCTGCTCATATGAAAGATGCTTCAAGCCCTTAACTCTGTGGCCCTTCTCTGGACTCACTCCTATAAATCCATGTTTTTCTTGCAGTAGGGAGCCCAGAACCCAGTACTCCGGGTTGCTCTCACCAGTGCTGAGTAGGGAGGAAGGTTTACCACCCTGAATCTGCTGGCAACACTTCTATCACAGTCCAGGATTTTGCTGGTTGTAGTCACAAGAGCACATCCTTGGTTCAACTTGGTGTCTACCAGGACTCCTAGGTGTTCTGTAGCCTTGTCCCCTGGTTTGTACCTGTGCATGGGTTTATTCCTCCACAGCTCTCTGATGTTGCATTTTCCTTTGTTGAACTTCATGAGGTTCTTCTCTGTCCATTTTTCCAGCCTTTCAAATTTCCTCCAAATGGCAACACACCCATCTGGTGTATTAGACTCCCACCTTCAGAAGTTTGAACAAGTTTTTTTCTGGGCATCCACAGAATAATCAAGTCTTTTTCTGTCAGGAAATACTGAAATTTGATTAGTTTTATATTACAAATGTTAGTAATCACAATGCATCTGCAATACCAATCCTCAGGTTTAAATGTTTGTTGGAAGGCCAGGAAGGCACTATTAACAGTCTCAGACGTGATCCGCAAGATTTAGGTGACTGGAGTGTGTTTTGAGTAAGAGCTCTTTATAAGAGCCAAAGCACAGCATGTATGCATTTTTATCAGACCTCCATAAATAAGTGTCTGCAGAGAACTGTCTGCAAGCCAGTCCAGCCTGTTCTTGGTCTGCCTCTGAGAAAATTGCAAATTACAAGAATATTGTTCACTGTAATTAAACAGAAAAAAAAAAAAAATGAAATGCCACTTTGCTTTATCCCTTTTGTTCTTCAGTGTCTTGGATATTGTACTGAAAGCAGGATGAACTCGATTATGTCTTTTTTCTTTCTTTTCCTTACCAACAACGACAAAATTTATTAGGAAAGAACTTGATGAAGGAAAGAAAACCTTAATGGCAATAAGAAACAAAATAATTCCTCCCTACTTCAAATCAGAATTGGGCAAGGCATTTCTCTCAAAAAAGGTAATGGAGATGAAAACTGGGTAAGTTTATGTGAGGCCAGGTAACCTCTGCCATAGTCCCACACTTAGAGATATGGTTTTACATCTCAGCCTCAAATTAACTCCAGCAACCATTACAGAGGACAGTTGTGGCAGAGTTAATACTAGGAATTAGATACACTTGCCAAAGGAAATGTATCTTAGAGGTGGCATGTGTTTACTGAGGCAAAACTATGGAGATTCCTTAGGTAAACTCTGGACAATCTGATTGGTCCAAAGCAGATACTGAACCTTGGGTCTTTTCACCCAACCCCTAGAAAACATCTCTCTGTTAACTTGAAAAGGAATCAGTAAGACCAAACCACCTGTGTTAACTGGAGGTGACCTTGGGAACTTTCTTCTTGTAATCCCACCTGATCACTGCTATGAGTATAAACTATAGTCAAAACCATTTGGAATCTGCAGCATATTTATGTGCATAAATTCTGTTGTTACCTCTTTGGTTCTGCTTCTTATTATTTCCACTGACCTTTTTCTTTTCATAGGGGAGGTATGCTGATGAGGTTGAATTTTTTATATTATTGTTGGAATACCTAAGCCTCTTTTCATCATTTTTCTCTATAGTTTCCTGATGTGGAAGCACTATCTAAAGAACTTCCTCCAGTTCCACAAAAAGAAAGTGGGAATCTCCTTTCAGAGACAATGAAAAACATCAGGAGAGGTAATTTAGACTCTACTGTCTGGTAGCATTTTAATATCTTTTCCATTTTTTTTTTAATTTTTTTTTTTTACCCAGTTGCCTCATTTCATATTGAGGTTAAATTTAAGAATAAATTTTCTGCCTCTGTGTATTCTCAGACATTTTGATACCTATGGTAACATATGAAGCATACCCGGCAGCATTCCCTCACATTGAGGTCCATCAGTATGGAGTAGGCTGTGTCTATGTTAGCAAATTCAGTCTCACAAAAAAGGCAGCCTTTTCCCCCAACTTAAATAGCTGACAGTATTTCTGGGGACACTGCTCAACAGCACTGTCAGTATCATGCCAGTGTTCAACAATTTGACCATATAGATTAACATGTTTGAGTGCCTTGAAGTGTTTCCATTTAATCCACTAGTACCAGTGTGGCCTATGAGACTTCTGTGTTCCATGTGCCAAAGGAGCCTTAGCAGACATCACTGGCTTTGGATACAAAGCTGAGGAATTGTGCTATGAATGTGAGGATTGATGGATGCAGAATGCTCAAAAAAAAAACAAACCCGAAGTGAAATAAAAATAGTCAGGAATAAGTGACCAAGAAATGAGGAGGCCAAGTTTGGAAAAAAGACCTGAAAAAGCTGAGAGATGGTGCAAATACTGAAATGAAACAGGGATGGGGCAGCTCAGGAATGAAACAGAAGGGGTATGGAAAAGGAAATGCACAGCATAAGGGTAGTTTGGAAAATAGAGGAGGAAAGTGTTTGAAAGAGGAGGAAGCCGTGACTGAGGATAAGCATTGTAAGAGTGAGCAATCCATTCTGAAGTTTAACCTTTACAATACTGAGAGAGATACTTCTCTGTTTGAAGGCTGCTCTGGCAAGGTACTGATATGGTGAAGTGAGATCAAGAGTCATACTCAGCAAAGATTTGTATTAGGAAAGTTGTCCTCCGTGGGGTTTTATCAGATCCCTGCTGGTTTCCACACTTCCTCAGTTTGCAGTCACTAGAAGGCTGGGTTGGATTGTACATTAGACCTTTCTGATGATTTCTCTGGCTGAGAAATAAATGAAGAATGACAAGATATAAAGTTGTTTTGTTGTTTTCTTGTTGTTTTTTGTTTGTTTGTTTGTTTGTTTTGCTGTTTTTGTTTGTTTCTTTGTTTTTGCCTGGGGAACATGAGTGCAGAACTTACGTAGCTTCTCATGGTCACGTAGGCAGCTTTCAAAGGCTGCCTAAATTAAAGTGCTAAATACTTTGGTTGTTTTTTTTTCATGTGCTTAAGAAAATGATAGTGATTGATTGTGAAGAACACTTGTCACAGTATCCCATTATTTTTTCCTTTAGAATCTGAATGTCTTAGTAGCACGAGTGACTCCTCACCTTCCCCTAGTCTTCTGCTGCAGACTCATTCCATACAAAGCGAAGATTCCAGCAGCACAACAGGTAAAACTGCTTTTCAGAGCATTGTTTGGAGCAGGTTTATTTCTATCTACTTACAGATTCTGACTGTCTGCAACAGATATTTAAATCCACCTGTTTCTGTTCAGCATTCTGAATATATCTGAGCACAAGACTGACAGAAAGGGAGAGTGCTATAAAAATAATGGGAGAAATTCTCTCCTTTCCCCTAGCAGACTGCTATAATTACATGGGCATGATAGCGATGGTAGAACCACAGACACAGGCAAGCTGTAATTCCTCCTCTAAAACATTTCATTCCTATGCTCCTTTTATGTATATTATACAGTGGAGTTCAGTTCAAAGACAACAAGTTAGGGGCTTGGTAGATGAAGAAGTTCACAGATAATCCACATGAATGAACTGCAGCAATAAAGGCAAGAATTTCTGCTCAAAAACAGAGCTTGCGAGATGGTTGTGATGACAGAATCCTGCTCTGAGACCTGGACTAGAACTTCTCCTGCTTGAACACACAGATTGGCTTGACCAGCCTGGGTGTGATCAATGTGCAGTTAAAGCCCTTCTTTGGAATAGTAATGTCCTCAATTATGATTTTATGGGGTTTTTGTAGCTCCTCTTGTGTTTTTAATCACTTTCACAGATGATTATATGCCTTCATTGCATATTTCCACTGTGAAGCTTCCCACAAATCAGTTTTACTAATTATAGTACATAATTGCTTATTTGTTCAATTTTAATTACTAGCTAGTATTAGAGTGGTGTTTTTTGTTTTTGGTGTTTTTTTTTTAATGTATTTGTTGACTTTTTAAATAAAATGAGACCAGTTCAGCTGTGCTAGTGCTAATCAAATTCTTTCATGGAAATTAAAGTTTTATCTGAGTAGGAACTTCAGAATTGGGCAAAATTTGATGCCCAGTGTTTTATGCTTTTGAAATCTTTGCTTTCTAGACTCAAGCTTGGCTGCAGGGTCAGAAGAGGCACCCTTTCAAGTAAAGGTTCAGAGTTTGCTGGTGAATGCTGCAGGACAGCCAAGGAAAGAGAAAGTGAGATTACCATCATCACTTCTGGGGAGTAAACCAAACTCCATACCACATAAAAAGGTGAAATACCATCTTCTGTTGTTGTTAATATTAAATCCTCTCAATCATCTCTTTTGCATGAAATCTTTATTCTGGAGCAATACTAGACATTGTTTTGAAACTGTTTACTGAAACAACAGAACTTGCAATCTATACAGAAATTTACTTGCAATTCTAAAAGTAGCCTTCCTCTCAACTACTAGGACTACCTCATGTGCCAAAAGCCTGGTTCTATACCAGGTGCTCACATGAGAGCACTAATTTCCAAAAGTGTAGAGCATGCTCAGTTGCCCTAAAATATCTCATTATGTCTGAAAACTCAAACCACTGTACATTTGCAGATAATATTCAAAGTACCTAGCTTTGCCTTTTCAGTTTGTACTGCATTTATGATGCCTGCCTGTAATTCCTCAAGATGAATGGACAGAGATCAAATATAGGTGGTTAGGTTTAGTAAATCAGAATCTAAGTCGTTGGGCCATCACTTTTGTCTGTTATCTAATATTTTAATTCTGTTTGCAAAGGTAGAAGATCCTGCCGCAGGAAGGGTCAACATATCTTCTCTTGCAAGAGCAAAACAGCATCTTAGCGACTTCCACCTCCTTCCACCTCAAATGATGTTTGGAGTACTAAAGGAAGGCTGTACCTATGCAGCCACTGTGATTCTGAAGAATGTTGGCATTAATTTCTCAAGGTTAGTTCACATTCCCAGTAACGTGGTTTTCAACCAAAATATGCATTGCTTGTTAATTGTCAGCCTTTTCATATGATGAATGTGAGATAACAAAATGTATGTTTATATTTGGAATCAGTGTAAGAGAATATAATAGTAGCAATACTGCAGCATTATTTGCATATTAGTGTTATTAGGAAGATGCAAATCCAGTAAGGAACAGCAGGTTCTATATGCATAGTCCTAGCCAACAGCAGATGATTTACTGGTTATTACTGAAGAAGAAGAACCAAACTTTTTCATGGTAACCAGTATTAAGTTTGGCTTTTGTAAGTGCTGCTGGATGCTGCAACTCTGACAACCTAAATGGACTGAGCTGTGTTCAGGCAGCCACATGTCTTGAGCTGCATTTAGAAACAGCTTCAGTGATGATTTCAGAAACAGACAGATAAGGATGAAATAAAACATTCATTTGAGCATGCTTCCCTCACTTGTTGTCACCCCTGTCAGTGGGTGAGAAGATAGCAGAGCATTGTGACTGAACATATACTTTCATTCAGTCATAGCAATAGCACTGTTCCAGAGTGCTGTCACAGTGGTGCTACCTTAGCAATCAAAGCATCCTTCTACTGTAGTGCCATGATGCAAGGATGAGACAAACAGAAGCATTTAAATACAATGTAAATGTAATACTTGCTCTCCTTTCTTGGGTGGAAGGAATTATCATCAAAATAGGGGCTTAGAGGTGGTGTACCCACATGAGTCATCATGGTCTCATGTCACTACTCAGGCAATGAGGAGCTTTAGAAATCTGTTCAAGACCAACTGAGAGACTCTTGTACAACTTCTTCTATGAGAATGAACAGGATTTTATTTATTTTAAATCAGCCTAGTTAGATGTGGCCTCTGAAAGACATTTCTACTTTAATGCACACTTTAGCATCATGGTACATGCCAATGATAAATCAGTAGGTCATATATCAACATCCTGGAGCTCCAGCTGTGCACATTACATTCTTTAGATTCAAACCAGAGCATTCTATATAGACACAGAAAATACCACCCTCATTCTATTCAATCCAGCTTGAGTCTTTTACTAGCTGCTTTTAGAAGCAAGTGACTAGCTGCTGCATGACAGCAGAACATGCTGATGGCAGAGATATAGGGCAAAGGTGGGCAGTTCCAGCCCATATCTGCCACATGCTGAAGCCAAAACTTCTCCAGGGCAGGGTCAGTAGTTAACTATGTGCCACACCATTGCCTGGGTGTGCTGGGATGCTGTGACAAAGATGAAGTCCAGTTTCTCTTAACCAGCACTCCAGAGGAACTGCAGGAATTCTTACAGAACTATCAAAGGTCTTATCTGCTCTAATGACTTCTAGAGAATTTGACAGTGATTGATTGATTTAGCATGCTAGTAAATTAAATTTAATTACTGCCTTACTGGGTACCGTGAAACTGAAGAGGCTCATTTACATGTAATTTCTACAAGGATCATGCTTCTGCACTAGAATCATATCAAATCACATTGAAGAAAGATCTTAAAGGACTTCTGGGTGTGCAACACACAGGTAGCTGCCAAAAAGGTGTAACGTGTAGTCCAACTTCCTTTGTGTATTGCAGGCTTAGACTGCAGCTGTTTCACTTCTGTTGCAAGGACAAGGCAGTATAATAAGCAATGTAAAGACTTAGTTTAGCCCATTAAACTACTGCTTTGATTTTTGATAGGAGCCTGAGCCTTGGCTGAAAGCCCAGGAATACTGCTATAGCCAGAGCTGTACGCTGTGGTGGGAAGGATGAGCTAAAAAATTCTGCTGTCATTTACACAATCACAGGAAAAGCAGATGGGCTGCTTCCTAACCATGTCTTCTGCTTGCCTGAAAGTTTCTAGCAACCTCCCTCTCTTCCCTTTCTGACAGGTTTCGGGTGAAGCAGCCACCTCCATACACAGGACTGAGCGTGCTGTACACACCTGGGCCTGTAAGTAGTACAGAAGGTCTTCTGTTTTATGCTACATTCACATGACTCTGATGCTGCTGCCATAACAGCTGTCTGGGAGTAGACCATGTAGTTGTAAATAACTTCAAAGTTATTTAAAGTGATGCTGCCTTCTGCTCTCTCTGCTGTCTTCTGCACTCTGTGCCTCAGAACATGCCCAGAATACTGTAACCCTATCTCCAAGTTTTTCCCATCGTTTAGGGTATTTTTTAGAGCTACTACCTGTTAGGCCTGCACTTTCATCTCCTATCCTGGTATCTGCAAGAGTTGAACCTAGTAAACTTTTGCCTCAGTGATTTTCTCTTGCTTGCAACCATCCCCCACCGTAAGTCTTTTACCCTGCAAATCACCTCAGCACATGAAACTGTCCCATGAAGTAGAAAGCTTTCACACTTTCTGCTTTTCTTCAGTATCTCTTCACCTACACTTTATAGCCTTTTTATTTTCTCTCAGTTGTCCCTGTTTGCCTTTTGCCTATAGAACGGAAAGGAAATTTAAGGGGAAAAAAATTGCAATGAGACAAAAAAATAAACTAAAAAAGACCTGGCGGTTTTCTTTCAAACTACACTGGGAAGAGCCACTGCTTTATACAGACCTTTCTCGTGATACAGGTACTCAGTACTCCACTAAGTCTCTGATTTCATCAGATAACGCAGAACAAGAATCAACTGGAAGCACTGGTGGAGGGGCTATGGATGGAACATGCACCTTGTTTGTCAGCAGTTCTCTCTCTCTCTCTCTCCCTCTCCCTCCCAGGTGGCAGCAGGACTGCAGGTTGAACTGGAGATAGAAATTTTTGCCATGTCAGTTGGAGAGGAAAGTACTGATGGCTTTGAAGAAATTTCCCACGATATTGAAATAATAACAGAAACACAGACTCTTTTGCTGCCTGTGAGAGCAAATATCCTTTGCAGTCTTACTTCTCCCCCTCCACACACACCTTCTAGCAGCATCACACTGAGGACTGACTACCTGGCAGGAGCCTTAAACATCATTTCCTTAAGCTTTTTTGTCCTTTTTGGAAACACCAGATGAATGTTTTCCAAGGCACAAATGAAGAATTTAAGATTCTAACTCCAAAAGCAATTTAGATAAAGTAACAAGACTTAGAAAAATAGGTAAAGGAAGAATGGTATGGCCAGAAAGATGTGGGTATTAAGAACAAATAAAAGATTAAGACGTTGTTTCCACTTTCCACTGACGGAAATATTTTAATCACAGTTTTGAATTGTAGAATTGTTTGAGTTGGAAGGGACCCTTAAAGGTCATCTAGTCCACCTCCCCTGACAATAAATAGGGTCATCCACAGCTAGATGAGATTGCTTGGAGGCCCCATCCAGCCTGACCATAAATATCTCCAGGCACAGGGCAGCCATCACCTCTCCAGGCAACCCGTTCCAGTTCCTCACTGCTCTTATTGTAAAACAAACAAACAAAAAAAAAACACAACTTTTTTTTTTTTTTAATCTCCAAACTACATTTGCCTTTTTTAAATTTGAAACCATTTCCCCTGAAATGGTCCAGCAGCAGACCCTGAAGAGTCCGCCCCCTTCTTTCTTATAGCCTGCCTATAGTTAAGAGACTAAAAGGCTGCTCTCAGGTCTTCCCAGAGCCTTCTCTACTCTAGGCTGAACAGCCCTATCTCCACAGCCTGTCCTCATAGGGGAAGCGTGCCATCCCTTGGAAATAAAACATATGGCAGCATTTGATGGTACAGTCTCATGCACTAAACAGGCAAGGGAGAGAATCGCTGTGTCAGCAATTGTGAACACAGAACTGTATGAATGCTGCCAGAAATCAGCCCTGTGTGGGCTCAATTGGTTAGTCCCAAAGAGAAGAATTCAGGGTCCTATGAGACTGACTGGAGTGCTAGTTAATGGCAACTGCATCGAGGTTTTATATGCTTTGGGAAGTCTTTCAGGTGTGTAACTGAGGAATTGGGCTAGACAAACCTGGTGGCATAGAAGCAAAAATGGTTTCTGCTCCATTCCCACTCGCCCAGACATCAGTTATTCGCTTTTGCAAGACCACCCTCCCAAACAAGCACCCTCGCCCAGTATTTTACTTGGCCTTTAATCTTTGAGTTGAGGCCAGCAGTTCAGATTCAAATTGTCTCTCAGCCTTCCTTCCAGAGTTCCTTCCAGCCTCCAGCCATATTCTTTTAGTTATATAAGCATACTGAGATGATTCGATCCTTAGCATAACGTCTCACCTGTGTTAAGAAGTGACATTTACGAGTGCCGCCCCCAAGGATACCCCCAGGGTGGGATGGCAGCAACAGTTCGGGCAGTTCCTACATGTCCCAAGCCACGGTTCCGGATTATGCTACCCCGAAAGCTTTCAAGCTAATGTAAGTATTGCATGCAGTGCTGCCAGCTGTGAATTAAATGGCAGATGTACCTTCTCTTAGCTTCCGATCCACAGCATCAACAAACCCGCCAGGTACTGCCAGCAAAGCTGTCACACACGCATCACGCACTTGACCTGAGACAAGAAAAAGACAAGAAATGCACTGGGTGACATCATTAACAAAAAGATTCACTGTGAGAGATTTACAGATTACTATGGCTGTTCTGCTCAGCGGAGATACAGTAGAACCTCCTCAGCCCTGCCCCAAATCCTTCGTTTAATTGTCTCCACATTAAGCAGTAGATCGAGCCTTCTGGCAGCAGGCAGCTAGATTTATTTCTGTTAAGCCCTAATAAATCAGCCTCAGTTTAACACTCTTCCTAAAACCACATCTTATTGCTGACCCTTTGACACTGACAGCAAACCTAATAAGGGACAGCAGCCTTACAGACAGACACAACTTAGCATGTTCCAGCACACATCACCCTCTGCACACATTTCATACAGAACATCTCTGTATCCTAAATGAAACGGTGTCCATACATGGACAGTGGACACATCTTCCCTGCCAACAAGACAGCTTTACTGGGAATTTTTCATCAAACCACCGACCACCACGTTAAGCATTGGGCTGGTGTTTCATCTAACCCACATCAACTCAGGTGCTCTACAATATAGCCAAATGTGACAGTTCATAAACAGAAATCCTATGGCTGTTTCTTCTCTATTCAGTTTAGACTTCCCATTTGTTACATTGACATCATCTTTTTTCTTTCAACTTTACCATCTGTAAGCCTGCTATGTTATCTAACAAGTCAGTAAAGAAATCCCAGCTGTATCTCATTTCCGCTCCTCTGAAGGGAAAAAACAAAAAAAGACCACATCAGTCAGTTCTCAAAAGAACTTCAGAGAGATGTGCACCTCTGACTGCTGCATCTGTTCTAGGACTGCCCTGATTACTTCAAGCATTGCTTTTTTCCTGTTTAAATATTTTCTTACCCTTTCAATATGGAATTTTATCTCCAGAGCAACAAACAATTGTGTCTAGGAAGAATAGCTAATTTAACACCTTCCATCTTAGCAGCTTACAACTTGTAGCTCATCAGTTAAGGCAGTTTAGACAAACCCCTCTTGCACTGTTTTGAAATGGAACAGAAGTACTCACCTAGCCTGACTCCTCCCTTTCCCACCTCAGCCCATCACAGCCCTGCACCAAAATACAGCTGTTGGATCATCCCTGTACACCAGGTACACACTAATCTACTTTTCCCTGCCAAGCCTATTCTGATTAGCGTCACCTTCCATTAAAATTCCAGGTGGAGAGAAATTAGTATGGCATTCATCTCCCACCTGACTATTCCAGATAATTGTGGAGACTGCTTTCCTCGTTGCCATTACTGCAGTCTGATGTCCTTCCATTCTAGCAAAGCCTTTGTGTGAGTGGACTGACAATTTCTACCAATTTATCAATTCTTAGCCACACCCCACTCCTCAAGCAGCTGAACCAAAAGCTTCTTGGAACATTCTTCCCCAAAACACCTCCTGAGCTCAACATCCTGTCCATTTCCAACACATCAAAAATTAGCATTGATGGGGGTCAGAAAACACTGACACTTCTATGTTAAGGCTCACATCACTTTGAACAGTCTTGTTCGGCTTCACCAAGACAGAAGTCAAGTCTTTGCAGGGTTATGTGACAACTTTCTAAGTTTGTATCATGTTTCCTAAGTGATTACTATCACTAGAACCAATATTATTCTTTCCCATAACACCTAGAAACTTCCCTTGCCTGGAACTGATCACAAGTTTGCCACACCTTCCAGCAGAGACCAAGAATCAAAGATCACCAATGAAGCAACAGCAGCTCAGGCTCAGGCATTTCTTTCACGTTTTCTCAAGTTTAAAACATTTCACAAAGATTCTCTTAATACACTCAAAATGAAATACTGCAGAGGAAGCTGCCAGTGAATGCCTTCAGTATTCCCAAGCAGATTGCCCAGCTTGAACTCCTGGTCATGATTTTTATTCCACTCAATTTATGAAATGAAAACAAACCCTTAATCTAGTTTAAGCCTATGTGAGAACCCGTTTTCATGTTGTTCCCTTCCAACAGCAACAATACAGGCCAGTTCTACTTGAAGGCAGCCTGACATAATTACGGTGTTTCAACAACCACACAGAAGTAGACCTTTTTATTATTATTATTATTTTACTTTTATTTCCTCTCATGTTAATTTTCTCTCCTCTTTCCCTACAGGTCAAAGCCTTGGAAGAATGATGTAAAAAGCAGCAATATTGAATTACCCAAATTTTAGTCCAACGTTATGGAAACATTCCCCGCGTAGACTTTTTCATTTCTTCAATCAAACTAGCATGAATGAAAATTTTGTCTGTCTCTTATTCATGGGAAAGGTGGTCTGAAAGTTGCAGTGCCTTCTGTGGCTGCCTGAAATGCCAACAGTTGAAACAATCGTGGAATTTCAATTCCCCCGTTTGACACTCTGCACTGCACGAGTGCTGAATGCTTCCTGGTAGGTTTATTTTGTTTTTACAAGAGATTAGGTTTCTGTAGCCACCCTGAAGCACCTGAAACCCCCCACCAGTACCAGGCATGCAGCAAGTTTCACTGAAGTGTGACTCTTTGAGCAAGTAACCGTAGCAAGTGCTGCTGATCTGCTCTGGCCTTCTAATTCCTAACTTTCTGCTTGCTTTCAGTCTGAGGCTCAACTTTCTGCACACAGACTGCTCACCTACCTTTAATTATCTACAAACAACAGATGGGGGCTGAGCACACAAAGTTATACGTGAAAGGAATTCTGTTTATATCCACTTATCTTCAAAGGTTCATTTTATCATAGTGGTAGACTGAACCACTTAGAGGTGCAGTTTTCCCCTTTTTGTTTCTACTTACGCAGCAGTCACTAAAAGAAACAGCTTTTTTAGGAGATACCTTATTCTTACTGTTAAGTGCAGTTCTGCATTTTTATTTTTTTTTTTTTTAATGTATTTCCAGTGGGTTGCTGTCCTGTGCTTCATCCTTTTTCCAGTACCTAACATCCTAAGAAATAGGGAGTTTTCTCTAGTACACGGAGACGACTTTCAACACTTTACAGTGACTGAGAAGATTATGACTGGAGATTAAACAACAGCTTTCACTACTATAGAGAACATAAGTCAAAGACTGGACAGTCAATAACAACTTGGATGCAATTAAAAATTCAGATGAAGTTCATGTTAGGTTCTCAAAGCTGATCTTCTTTCTGAGTCAGACCTCTCAGTCTAAAAGTAATACTATTTTTTAGGACAAAGTGCCCCAGAAGCAGCCCCTACATCTACCAAACCTGATCACTGGGATAAAAAGGCAGCATACATGAAAAACTGATTACTGATCAACAGGAGCAGAGGCCTGCCCACTTAAATCATTTTTATCTGATACAGGACAAGTATGACTTGTCCTGCAACAATTCTGTGCAATTTCCAATATATAGGAGCAGATACAATACAAATAAGCCCACACTTCTCATGCTTCATCTGCCAGTTGTTTAGAAGAGCACAATCCTTCACTGCAGCCCTTTAATTTTCTCCCACAATTTTACTTTCTGGGAAAAAAAAATTAAGAACCAGTAAAACAGAATGAGACAATCAAAGATTTACTAGAAAAATATCAGGACAAAATTCCATGGACAAAGTTGTTTGATAAAGCATATATAAACATTATTTAATAGAGTACAGTGTTTCCTCCATTCCATTGAAAAATTAATGGCTGGAGATGACTTCTGAAGTCTCAAAGCCTTGCCCACAGCCTCTAAGCACTTCCACAAACCATCAGTAAGTGTCAAAGCAGCACAGAATGTTGCCAGCTGCCTCCTACAGACAGGGCAAAGTCTGACAAGCAGTCCATGTGCTGATTCACCCCATTCAGTTAGCACACTGCCAGCAGGCTGATCTCTTTTGGAGAAGAAACCAACTCCAATTCTGCCAGGCATTTCGGTAGAGGAAAGGCATTGATCTTTGACAGCCACCTCAGAAACAACTGAAATGGAGACATACAGAGCAGAGCACAGACAGCTCATCTCACTAGGTAGAGACGATCAACCTGTGCTGGCAGCTCCAGCCAGGCAGGGCTGGCTATCCCACAGGAAGAAGGGACAGGCTTTGCTTCAGTCACCAAATATCACAGAGATGTTCAGCCACAAGAATAGGTCCATGGCCAGCACAGAGGTTACTTGATGTCATCCCGTTGTTCCGGGCAGCGAATGCTAAACCACTGCAAGAATCATTTTCTCTTTCTTCTTCCTCTTCCTCTTCTTCTCCTCGAAACGGTCTGTAGCATCAGCAAAAAACATGACCTCATCCTTAGCTTCAATCTCTCTCTTGAGGTACTGGAGCCCTGCCATGTTGAATCCCAGCACATCCTGTTGAGACAGACAAGCACCATGCTGTTGGGCACATCTCCAGCTTGTTGGGAGGTACAAGCTGCCTGGAAACTGCTGATACTCTGGCCTCTCTCTACTGAGGGATGATGAAAGCAAGACAATCCCCCACAGCTAATTAAGGCAGCAATACTTAAATGTAAATTTCATCTGAGCAGGTGAACAACCTGCACTCTTTTCCCAACATTTTTGTTAAAAATAGCTATAATCCACTATTTCCTAAAAAAAAAAAACAAGTTGTTGACAACCATCTGAAGACGTTCCTGGGAAAGGTACTTAAAAGATTTGTAGCCCACAAGAAGACAAATAGAGTTTATTTACTTCCCACATAGAGAACCGAAGCACGATTACATGCATCAACAAAAAACCAGAGAAGGAAGGGGGAGGAACAGTGCACATAGGATCATTACTGCATAGTATCACATCAGGAAAACGTAGCCTGTTTTCACAGGAAGAAGATGAAAATGGGCTCTAGACCCCCAAGCAGCTTTCCTACTTGACTGCAAATGCTTCCAGACATTGGCCAATACTGCTATTCCAGACTCTGGAGGAGAGGTAGCAACACTCACCCGGGCCTCACTGACTCTGGAGATGGTGGTTTTCTTCAAATTTTCTATCACTGTCACCAGCATCTGGTTGCTTGTTATCTGCCCAAAATGTATCCTGGGAACAAACACAGGACCAGCAACTGACATCAACAGAGGCATGTCAGCACCCTGCATCCTGTTTAGCCCACTCCCAGATGACCAGCTGCAGCTGAGGGATGCAGTAATTCCTCATTTCCCACATCTTAATTCCCAAGAGACCACACCTTTATTCCTAAGGTGGCTTTCCAGGAGCTTCAGAGCCAGAAACTTTAAAAGTCCAAATCTTCCCCCCACACTTAAGCTGCACATGTTCACAGCGCATCACATAGTCTTCAAGCTTCAAGAGAGAGATTATATTCCCCAGCTCTTGTGCTGTCCCAAGGCACTGCCTCACAAGAGGAATGAGCACCTTTCTTTTCATGTAAGTGGCACAAAGAGAGTTCATGACAACACAGTATGGACAGGCCCTGAGGAACAGGCAAACCCACTGCTAACCAGAGCCTTCCTAGCATTCATGATCTGGACAGTAATGACAGCTGAACTTAGACCAGCAGCCCTGTCTGGGCAACTGGAAGACTTACTTGAGCAGGAAGAGGAGAGCACGGCACAGGAGTTCAATTTCTGCACCCAAGTGAATATGTTCATTGAAGAGTCTGAGTAGGTCAGGGACATAGGAGAAGGGCAGCACAAGGAGAGACTCTTCCAGCTCACTAAGAAGCAAAGGGATGGTAACAATAGTCTCAGCTACTGCAGAGCTATAGATGAGCAAGAAATGCTTCCATGTGGGAAGCTTCTGACAGAAAAGCTGTGCTGAATGCTCCCCACTGCTGGTCTGTGCCTGCCCACAAAGCACAAAGCACAGCCCAGGGCCTCAGCAGCAGGCATCTTCTGACACAAAGAGGAGGCACAGCATTCCATCCTCGGCATCCCCAATTTCCTCTTCACATACACATACATCTCCAGGCAGCCAACACCCATATACAAGCTTTGCTGAATACTCCTCATGGACAAATTCCCACTCCCCAGTTCCAAAAAAAGGCTGCCAGAGAGTAACTTCCACTCTTCAACACCACCCACTCAGCACAGAAGTCCAACACAGGACCCCAACCAACTCAGAGATCCAATTCTTTAGCACAAGCCTGTTCAGCAATAAGGCTCTTGGGACTCACCTTGACTTGACCTTCTTGAAAACTTCTAGCACATACTCAGAAGGCTGGAACAGAGGAAAGACAACAGCTCTGCACATCAAGAAACATTCCAAGACAAACATGTGCCTTTGAGGTTCATTTTGCCCAGTTAAAAACATGCAATCACATCTTGTGAGATGGATAGATCCATCTGAACGTAACAAACAAAAAAGAAACCCCTTCAGTTCCAACCAACTACCAGTCTTGACCATAAAAGAGAAACCCATCCTTCTCGAAATACACCAAACTGGTGAAGATACATTGGGGAAAAAAATTATATAAAAACAGACAATATATACAAAACTTTACACAAACTCATCTCCTGCTTAAAGTATTCAGCAAATGCAGAGCTGCCAAGTGCCAAAGAGAAGTGTCTCAATACTCGGTCATAGGATCTCATTCACTTCTTTTCAGTGTATGCAACATATAATTGACTACAACTGTAGTCAGAGAGAAAGGGACAGGATGTAAAAGAATGTAAATTCTATATGGAAAGAAATGGGCTCAGTAAAAGCTGTACCAGTTCCCTAAAAATAAACCTGGTCAATTGCAACACAATGCCTTGCACGGCATTGCCCTGCCTAATTGATTTCAGGTCAGAAAGCTTCCAAGTGCCTCCACCTCCTGCTCCTTGAGTCAAAGCAATACAGTTGATACACTGGGTCAAGCGTCCCACATGCAAAGCCTGTCCCAAAAAGATGATGATAGACTCTCATGGGATGAAGTACTTTTGTTCATGATTTTACATTGTAAATGCTCACCATGGTCAGCTCATCACATAACAGAATGTGTCTTAACTTGTCAGTGTTTTTACCCAGCACCGACACTTGGGTGTTCCTCAAGAACCTTCTCTGTACAAAGCAAAAAAGTTGCTACTACCACGCCACAGAATTTCACTCACCCCTGTTAAATCTATTTACTTTGCAGTTAAATATGCCTGTATTTACAGAGGAAGGGGGAGAATGGTTCTGGCTAAGTGTTTACAGATGTCAAGTGGCCAGGGGTGCACAATGACAGTAGTTCTCAATTACCCATTCCACTGGAGGCTCAGGTATTTTGTATCTGATGGCACAGCTCCCCTGAATATTCTATAGCATGGCAACCACAACCTCTTGCCAGAAACATGCATAGGAAGATTTTAACTAGCTTCCTGTAGCTTTCTGTAACTCTACATGAT